AATTTGGCATATATATTGAGAAATACATATAATATACTGTAATTTAATATACTTTGCCTTTTCTAGGGCAAATTAAAGTTTTTTGATTTCGAAAATATTCGGATTCGTTAGATAATATATTTATGAAATAGAAAGATTGAAAAAGAAAGGAGAAAAGAAGATTATATTGAAAATAATTGTTGGAATTTTGAATTATTGACTTTTATCAAACCTTAACGAGACTGGGCCCTGAAAATTGATTCACAGTACAGCTTCAATTTTATTGTGAATTTTTTGAGCTTTATAATTTAATACAGCTGTGCCGAATTCCAAATACCGTATTTACAGTTCGATTTCCACCTATTTACAGTGCAATTAGACCAAAGTTTCGAGGTTGTTGCATTGATATGAGATACGCAATCGCAACCCCCCACCCAGACCCGATCCACCCCCAAAAACGGAAATTGCTTTCCTGTAAACAGGGCAGCCCACCCAGTTTACGACATCCCCCCGTCCCCCCCAACCCTTCTAGCTGCCCCCAGATGGTTGTCGAAAATTCAGGGATATTCCAGCTGGGGCGGGACCTCAGGTGTTTTATATAACAGTGCTGCTGGTGGGGGCCCGCCGGGGCCGAGTTCATACTGCTTCTGGGGGCGGCTACTGATTTCGCTGTGCATATTTTAGTGGCTGGGTTACGGTAGGCGGGATGCTGAATTGTCAGGTAGGAGATTGGTTTTTAAGAAATTGAGTGAACGTGGGTGATTACGTGACGAAAAGGGGTATTATCGCGATTAATTGTGTTCCTGAGTTGTTAGCATCAATCACCTAGTGCAAAATGGGTTGTATCATGTAGTCGGAGATCCGCACAATTTAGGTTAAAAATACTTAGATACTAAATGGGGAGTGACAGCTATCTAAGGCGACAAAACCTGGGCTTTAACGACATTTCTACAATTGTTAACTTTGCGAAAACTCTATTTTTAAATCTGACAAAATTTATTACGATTATGATAGTCGATATTCTGACGTACAAATAATCAAGCGTCTTTTTCTATAAAAATTGCTCAAGCTTCACGTCTGCCTATCCACCACCAGGGCCTTAGCGGCTCACGTCTCAAAATAATTCCGGGTGACCTAGCCGGAGACGAGGGCAGCAATTAGTTGGGTAATAAGGGCACCGCGGTGAATTGGAGCCAAATCCGTCCCAGCGGCCCCATCCATCCAGAACCCCCATCTATTCTATTTCCCACTCTATATCCGGATCATCATCTCCCAACATCCACCACCGCTTTCGACAAACCCCGCACCTTTCTAAACTCTCCCCGCCTCCCATATTCCGACCGTCCTTTTTATGCTTTACGACCCGAACTGTGCGCCCAATTTTTGGGCTTCACCCGCAGACCGGACTATTAAAAAGGTGCCCCACGTCTAGTCGCGCCCGGTGTACGGGCATTTGGCGATAAACATTTGCTGTTGCTTTACGTGCTTATCGTGCTAACGGTTTGTGCTTTTCGAGGAAAGGTGAAGCCACTTACGCAGCACTCTTGAAACTGGCCTTTTCCAATAGTTTTCAAACGGGAACTAGGCGGCGAACAGTTTTCGATAGTTTGGTGCGCTTTTTGCATGTCTGTGTGGGATTTGCTCCTTTTTTGGTATAATCCAGGCGAACGAGGACCGTTCCATCGGGTATGTCCAGAGATTCGGGATAGTGACGGATTATTGAGCACCGGGAGAAGGCGGGGAGGAATAAGACGGATTATGTATTTTCCTAGGTTGGTTGATAGAGCTTTATCTGTAGTCGATGATAGGAATGTTGTAAATACTCAGAAATCAGATTTTAGCTTGTTAGGGCAGGTCTTAGAATCCATAATTAAGGTTTGGTTTGAAAGGGATATTTAGTTAGGGTATAGACGGTCGAAAAAGAGTCCGTGATTTAATTAGATATAGAGTAATCAAAAAAAACAATAATCAAACTGACAAATGACGGTGTGGAATTCTGAGTTTTTAGCATTTTTCCAGAATTTTCGTGTTAATTAAGGAATTGAAAAATAATAAACACTCTTATAGAGCTTTTTTTAGTTATGAAATAACTAAATAATTGTGCGAACAGCCAATAACTAAATGACAAAGTGGTCGTGAAATTTTTAGATTTTCACATTTTTTTTGGAATTTCCTTAGATTTAAAGAATCGGTTAATAATAATTGTTCTAAGGGTTGTTGGCATACTCCGGGATACAATTACCATGTTAGCGTCTCCCATATCCTTCAGCTATTCAGAGAGTTTTTGGTTTAGGGGTGCGATCGATGGATGTGTCCAGGGGGGGCGTCCCGGGTGCGGTCTGCGTGTCTGCCCTCGGCCGACCCTAGACTAGGAGACTCTCATGGATCACCTGCGAATGCCCTCCATTCCCTATATCTCTCATCTCCCTCCACCCTCAACCCACTATCTCATCCATGGTACCCATATGCTTGCCATCCACCCCCGATTATTATACCATAATTCATGCATGTTAACTTTCCGCACCCTTTTGAAGCCCTCCACTCCATGTGAGAAGCCATACAATCAGGAAATCCCCCCTGACGATAGGTTTTTGGTTGCTCCGAATGAGCTTCTTCTATTTTTGGCGGCTAGATCTCGAAAATGAATAATAAACAGGCTTCTTCGCACCAGGTGACCGCTAGACTGATTCCTTTATCCCTTCATAAAAACCCAACTGCATATCATTTGGATCATATGGCAAAAATGAAAGTATTTTTTTGCAAAATGCTCGCTTTATCGTTGTTTTCAGGGCCCGCTCCTTTACCATGAAATTCCCCCTCAAAATTCAGCTGGAATATAAGATGCAAATGAGCTTCCTTTACCATATTTCAGATCCGTGCAATTCGCTAAATCCAGGTCTAATAAGAACCCCTCGCCTAGAAACACAAACCCCCAATTAGTCCCCATTTCACCAGCCGGGCTTCTATAATTATCTCTAATCCCTCATTTACAACGATTATCACCATTTTTGAGGTGTTTCAAATTCATGAGATGGTTTTTAGGATCACGTAATACATTGGGCGATTACGATAGGAAATGTTTTTGGGGAGAAATCCGCCTTGAGAACCGAATAATGGGAATAATTTCCTCCCAGTATTTTTGATAATCCGATGACACACTCTTTCACACGGCATTTTCTCTTGTTTTGACGGAATTTATTGGCTCATTAGAGCTTGTTTGTACCTTTCCGTGCCGATTCTGTTGTATTTAATACCGTATATTACTCATCTAGTACTTTTCTAGACGTTAACGTGTAAATAAGGTTTGGATTCGTTATAAAACCGTACTTTTTGCCTGAAATACGACAATAGATGATCCTTTTTGTGATTCGTCTATGGAATCTTTTGGGGAAATGATTGATTGGATGTCCAATTTGTCTAGAAACATTTCCACATGGATACTCTATTTCAGTATATACGTTTCCTCATGGCGATTCGCTCCCATTTTATCTGCCTTAATCGACTAGCACTTTGGCCGATCGCCAGTTTGATCAGTTCAAAAATTTCTCTGCCCTTTCGTGTAGGTGTTTGGGGCGGCTGAAAAGGCTTATTTCGCGATGTAGACACGGCATGTGACATTCAGCCTCCCCATTGCTCCCCAACGAACGAAAAAATAAGGTGGGCAAAAGACTGGACGATGGGCCGTCTCGACCCTCACCTCTTACCCTAAAATCGTCCGGGACAGCCACCCCTCTCGAGATTCGTTCCTTATCTTTTCTGACGGACACGGCGGCCCATGAAAAAACGCGGCTCCGCCCTTTATCTATGGACGCTTTTTTCGGGGATCCCCGAGGGCCCCGGTATCTTTTTCAGTCTTTATTAATGATCAAGAAGGTTTTCATGCTTTTATCGATAGGTGGCAGGTGATACTTTAAGCTTCGTTAGTAAGTATCTTGTTTTTAGCTGGAATTGATGTTCAAATAGTTCTAGTGTAGCTGTATTGACTATCCTTCGCTATTTGCAATATTCTCAGGGTTTTCTAAATTATCAAAAAGATTTTCGTAGTTGGAAGTTTGGCGGTAAACATATAATTGAGCCCTTAGCTTCAGAATTTCCAAAAAAAAATTACATAGGAATTGTGATTAACAATAATATATTGAATAATATTTCATATCACGGTAAAATTACCTTTGAAAACATCTATATTAAGTAAGTATTTTATTATTTGAGCTCTCTTTCTCTCTTGAAGATCGCTTTTTCCTCTATTCGGACTTTTCATCATTTCTGCTATCTTTACCACATTTTTGTGCAATCCGGGAGGTTTTTAAATGCATTGTGAACTTTTACGACATGCAATAACGTCGTTTCAAAAAGTCTACTCTTCCCATTTTTATTCCGAAGGTGAAAGCCCCGACCTTTCAATACTGGAAGTGCCAATGTCTCCGCCCTTTATCTAATTCCTATGCATTAATGAACTCCCTACCAATAGCATTAAAATTGGCATGTCCCCACCCGGCCCACCTCCTGCCTCTAGCCCATCTAATGTGAAACATTTGCCCCCCAAAAAGGACGTATATCGCACGTCACCAAAAGAGACCACTCAATTTTGAGCTGACAGCCACATTTTCTTTACCCCCCACCCCAGCCACCCCCGACATCAGCCATAATTAATTTATTGCTTGGAAGGCTTTATTAAAAGCGCGTTTGGTGTGGGTGGCTAGTGCTGGAATGTGACGTCTGGCACCTGGGGCACCCTTCATCACGTAGGCAAAGTACGAAACCAGGGCGTTGGAGAAATCAGGGCCCTGGTGGGGCAGGTGGAATTGTCTTCCACCTGCTAAGGGGTGGGGGTAGGGGTAAGTCTCGAAATGCCCCCTCCATCCGCTCATTTTACTTATATTCTTGTGCTCTCGCTTCGTCGATTCTTTTTGTTGGGTGAAAAATGGTTGGTTTACAGGTAGAGGAGGCCTAGAGATCGTGTGAGAAGTTTTGGGAACTGGGGGGCTGTGTGGCAGAGTGCGAAAGTTGGGACCTCTCAGGTGATGTCGGTGCCCCCGGGTCTCAACTTTGCCACCGAGTTGGCGTCAGCCGATATACTTGCACCGAATGCAACGGCGTTGATTGGGAAAACGCCGATGGTGACGCTACGGAACGTGGTGGATGGGTGTGGCGCGACGATTGGTGAGTTTTCAGATCAAAACATCGTTTATTTGGTAAAAATTCGTTGTCATTTGCATAGAAAAGTAGAAATTTGCTTCAAGCGTCTATTAATATCTTTTTTTTTTCAGCGGCGAAACTCGAATACCTGAACCCCGCCTGTTCGGTGAAAGATCGGATAGGATATGCGATGGTGACGGCAGCCGAAAAAGCTGGACGGGTATGTTTTACACGATATTGCAGAAGTATGTTGTTTTTTTAATTTCTTGAACCAGTAGATAGTGGCGCCCTACTTCTTAGGCTCTTTCGATTGTGCATTTTTACGTCTTCGAAGCCCTCCGAAATCCACATAATTCTTTTCCAGCACAAAATGATCTCTCTCACCCTAAAAAATCTCGATATCTTGCTTTCTGAACCTATAACTAATGGTACTGTAAATCTTAAGCGCCGCTTTGCCTGTGCATTTTCCAAAGTCTCTAAATGTGTCTAAATCCACATAATTCTGCCCCAGCGACGCCGAACCTCCATTTCTCTCTCGCTTTCGTTTCTCTTTCCTTTTCTCTCTCTCTCTCTCTCTCTCTCTCTCTCTCTCTCTCTCTCTCTCTCTCTCTCCCTCTCCCTCTCGATCTCTCGCTCTCTCTCCCTCTCCCTCTAATTTTTTTGCATATTTTGAACTACTTGGACCTGTAACCATTGGAACCGTGAATCCTACATTCCCCTTTATTGGAGCATTTTCTAGGGTCCCCCAATCCTTCCAAAACCCAAATTCCAAATCTATTGATTATCCCCCTCGCTATACCCCAAGCTTTCAGATCATCCCAGGTGTGACAACGCTAATCGAGCCAACGTCCGGGAACACCGGAATTGCATTGGCCTTCATCGCGGCCGCCAAAGGCTACCGCCTAATCCTCACGATGCCCTCCTCAATGAGCGTGGAACGGGTGGGCAATTAGTTGTGGCATTCCGGCACATGGGAGCGGAAAGGGGGGCTCAAAAAAATTGAGCGGCCTTTCGGGTTTGGGCGCGAAAAAGTATTGACGTTCGGATGGGTTCAAATCTCAGGTAAATTAACGGGAATTAGAGTTTTGAAGAAAGTGGCATAAAAGTGTGTAATTTCAGAAAAATTCGGGTTTATTTTTGAGTTTCCGTTCCCGCCAATCAACGGTATCGGTACTGGGCTATTAGCGGGGCGGGAGAAGAAGCAAGATCTGTTTATGGTGTTCGTAGAAGTCTTTACAAACATGATAAAATCTCTAACAAATTTAAACTTTTAGGTTTTGACCATTTTCAAACTTATTGACCAACACTGACGATGTTTTGGAATTCTAACAATTTTATTAGCCAATTTTTAATGATAACCATAAAACCGTCTAGAAAATCTCGAAAACTCTATAAATTATTTATTTTGCTTATTTTTTGGAAAGGACAAGGGCCAGGCCAACGTTAGGTCCCTGTTCAAACTAACCTCCCCCGCAAACAGTTCAGGACAAAAATAATTTCATGGAGTCTAAGGATAAGTACAAAATATCGGGAAGGCAAAGACTTTTCAACAATGTCTTTTTAGCGCGTCCTCCTCAGGGCATATGGTGCTGAAGTCGTGCTGACAGCTCCTGAGCTTGGCATGCAGGGCTCAATCGACCGAGCCAAAGAGCTGGCCGAAAACATCCCAAACTCCTTCATCCTTCAACAGGTAATTTTTCCTATTCGATCAAAGCACAAAAACGACACCAAACATTTCATTATCCCCGTCGGCTAATTTACACACTGGCCTGACCTATCCAACCCAGTCTCCCCCCCGTAATGGAATTACTAATGAGATCTTGTCCCCCCATCCAAATACTTCCGGTAGCCCCCAGCAGCCCTTTATACCAAACAGGTGCAAATATAACAAGCGATCAGAGCAGCCACTTTCAAAAAAAATGTTTACAGTTCGAAAACCCGGCTAATCCCCTCATCCACTACCAGACGACAGGGCCTGAAATATGGGAGCAGACGAAAGGAAAGGTCAGTGACGTCTGAGAAAGTGGTAATTTTGGGAACCGGTTGCAGGTGGATTGCTGCGTCTTCGGTGTAGGTACCGGTGGCACGATTACCGGTGTCGGCACGTTTTTGAAGGAGCAGAACCCAAACATCAAGGTACGGAAATAAAATGGTATTAAAATGGTATGATGGAAACTAAGTCGAAAATAAACCGTTCAGGAAAATTGAGAGAGTTAAAAGAGCACTATTAGAATTCATGTTTTAATTCTTAAAAAATAGATTCGAAAAATTTGTGCATAGCTCGTAAATTACAGATACCTTTCAGGAGAAAATAAATCGTAAAGAATTATACAGGATTGGAAGCTTTCCAATGTTTATAAAAAGTGAAAGCACATAAAACTCGATAATCAACTTGTAAAAATGATAAGGGACATACTGTTTGGTTTTAGATTTACGCTGTTGAACCCGAAGAAGCAGCCGTACTCTCTGGCCTTCCGTCGGGACCTCACAAAATCCAAGGGCTCGGTGCAGGCTTCATCCCAAAAGTGCTGAATACCAGCATTTACGATGACGTCATACGGGTAGGATTTTACCACCATAAAACCCTTTGATTTAGATACACTCTGACGAAGCAGTGATCATGAGCAAGAGATTGGCGCTGGCCGAAGGGTTACTGGTCGGAATCTCGTCCGGCGCGAACGTATGCGCGGCGCTTCGTCTTGCAAATCTGCCGGAATGGTCGGGGAAGCTGATCGTGACGGTGATGCCGTCATTTGGGGAACGATATCTGTAAGGAGAATCGAAGTGGAAGTTGATTTTTAAGATCTATAGGTCTTCGAATCTGTACTCAGACATGCGGGATCAGGTTCTGACAATGGGTGTTGAGAGCTTGGAAGAGAACTTGAAGAACCTGCGACTTCACGAGTATCAGGTTAGTAAGGTCTACAAAAATAACCAGTAGATCCTTAAATAAACACATATAACCCTGTAAAACATATTATCGTTTAGGTAATGGAACCTCTCGACACTAATCTACTTCACAACCCTCATCTCCACGGCATGATGGACGAAGATCTGAACGGGATTGAAGACGAGCCAACAGAATAGCTCATCAATAGCACCTCTTCTTCAAGATGGATCTCAAAACGTGACGGTAAAACCCACAATTTACTATTTTATAGCAAATTTAATTTCTAGGGTTCTCGGCAGCTCGACGTCGAGGAACACACACAACTTCCTGATACATTCCATAGTCAAAATAAGAAACAATGTACCCTCTTCTCGTATCTAATCCCAACGCGAATGTGATATCACCAAAAACACCATCCCCATCCAAGACAAATTCGAAATTTGATTAGGTGACTTTCCAATTGTATTTTATCCTATTTGGGTATCAATGAACTTTAACACGGCTCACTCATTAGTGGAAGAAATCGGAAAACACTGTTAACATGTCGCATAGTTAGAATGTTTTGGCGCCGTACCCTAACTCCTCCTCTATCTCTCTCAGACCCTAATCACACGTAGTCGATCCTCGTCCTGCATTTGATACGGTTACTCACTGAACGATTCCAATTTTGTTTATGTCGCACCCCTCCCCCCAGATGGAAGATCTTGGTTCCATTGCTCATTTAGTTTGAAATTTTCCGAACCCCCTTCGCAGAACACCGTTGAAAAGGCTGAAGTGTGCACCGAAAATTTGTGATTGTTTGTTGTCAATAAATTGTGCGATACAGGATTTACGAAAATTTCAAAAAAAAAACAAGAAAGAAAGCGATAGAAAAGATGACAACTTTGAATTAATTCGTTAGATCTAGTCTTTTAGAGGTGTTTGCGATGAGGTACAAATTTCCATTTTTGATGATTTTCAGGCAGGTTTGGTTTATTTAAGAATGTAATCGCAAAAAGTTAAGTGGATTGATAAATTTCATCTCTTGAACTCGGTTTTTCGGCTTAATTTTGTACTATTAAAGCTTTATCGGTAGAATCATTTCTTGTTTGTATGCAAAATCTATAGTGTATACCGTGCATACATCTCAACAACCAAATGCTATAAATCTCTTTATTGGCGAGATTTTTGTACAGATATTGTCTATCAGGAACTCGAGCAGTCTTAGGCGACGCGAGCGGCCTTGCGACGGTATCCTCCCTGGGCGGCGGGAACCTGAGCCGCTGGGGCTGGGGCTGGGGCCGGAGCCGGAGCCGGGGCTGGGGCTGGCGAGTAGTCGGAAGAGTCGCTTCCACCGCTGACTCCGCTTGATCCAGTCCTTGGTGGGCAAGGGCAGTAGGCGGCATCGGCTCCTGGGGCTCCATCTTTTCCGGGCTGTCCGGGCTGTCCATCGGATCCGGCCTCTCCGGGCTGTCCAGCTCCTCCTTGAGGTCCCTCGGGTCCATCTTCTCCGGGCTGTCCAGGCTGTCCGTTGGGTCCGGCGGGTCCAGCAGGTCCAGCGGGTCCAGGCTGTCCAGGGGCTCCGGGCTGAGTGGTGTACCTCTTGCCGTCCTGTCCGCGTTGTCCAGGGGCTCCAGGCTGTCCATTGTTTCCGGGGGCTCCAGCATCTCCAGCAGGTCCGGCGGGTCCGGGCTGTCCAGGTTGTCCCTGAGACCCGGGGTTTCCGGGCTGTCCGTCGGGTCCGGCGTTTCCAGCGGGTCCATCGGGCCCGGGGGGTCCGGGGGGTCCAGCGGGGCAGGTCTGGCACTCGGACTTCTGGTCCTCGGGGAGGGCAGATTTGCCAACACCTCCGTCCTTTCCAGCATCTCCTGGGGCTCCATCATCGCCGGGAGCACCGGGCTGGCCGGGAGGTCCGGGGGGTCCGGCGGGGCATCCGTTAGATCCGGCTCCGCAGCTGCAGCTGGCTTGACGCTTGTTCCTGCCGAAGATGAAAGAGGCCTTCACGGTCTTGGAGACGACCATTTCCTTCCAGGCTCCATCAGCGAATCCCTAAAATTGTTGATAAGAAGAGGGGATGATAGGGAGTAAGATTTAACTTCGAAGTCGATAGTGGTATAATGATTTAAGCAACCTACGCGGAACTCGGTGATGTCACGGCGAGTCTCATCATAGAAGTTGTTGATGTCGTTGAAGATGTAGGCGACCGTGGTCAGGGCGACGACGATCGAGATGGCGCAACCGCCGGCAGCGATAGTAGTGATCATCTAGAATAAGGTAATAATTAAAGGAATAAAGGAAAGCCACTTACTTTTCCGCTCATGCTTGCAAGAGTGAGGAAGTTCCTGTCTATCCTCACTTGCCACGAGCTTATATACGCGGCTCCGGGCTTTTTGTGTGGTACGTTGTAACCGTTTGACCTCGAGCAATTTCGATGTTGGGGGGGAAAGGGGGGGAACTGAGTTTGGAGCGTGAGGCTCGCTTTGTCTTGGTATCTTTCCCTCTTCTCAATTGCCTCTTTTTGTTACTGTTACGCAGTTCTTGGGGAGGCGCATTTCCGATCTGGGGGTGAAAGAGAAGCGTAGTTTTCGCCTCGGGAAATACGCCCCCCCGCGGTGCAGGGCGCGCTGCTTTCTCCTTTGTTTCACATGCTGATGCCGGGTGTTGTTCATGACCGTTGGGAGTTTAAGAGTGAAATCAAGGACCTTTGGTAGGAAATACACTCACACCGACATGCAGATAGCCGCTAATAAGCCAAGGCCCCAATTAAAGAAGGCCGGGATGAGAACCTCACGAAAACGCGCGTCTTCCCGAATATTCTTGCAAGAAATAATTTGTGGTGGTGAGCGGCTGATTATGGGTGGTGCTTCGTTAGTGGAGCTATTCAAAACCAGGTTGCGTCGGCCGGGTGGAAGATAATTGCTAGCTTCTCTTGGGGTCATCTTTGAAAAAGAAGGCTTCGGTTTTTGTGATTTGTTTTCAGAATTCGGACGTTCATGGTAGAAGCGTATTCTTGGAAGAGGTTTCCCATTCTAGATCGGGTTCATTGACGGGCAGAATTCTTCCTCTAACCAAATTATCGTTCATTGGAGATAAATTCTAGTAAATATATAATGAAGGCTGCTTTTTTAACCACGAAGGGCCATTTATTAACGGAGGTTTCCAACGGAAGGGTCTTATATTTTTTCGATCGGTCGAAAGGGCGTAATTTGAAGATAAATTGCACGATTTTGACCTTTTTAGCTGCGACGCCATAAAGCTAATACAAAACAAAACAAAAAACACGTCTGAAGCAAAATGATAATCACACTTTTTTGATTTGAAATAGAACATTAACAGGATTTACCCCAGGAACATGTACTTCAATTCGATAATTCTGAGTTTATCAAAATTTAACCAAAAACCAAATCACAGAAAAATCTTTAACTTTCCCTTTGCTCACAAGGAGTTCTTTTTTTGAGTCATCGGCAAAACCTTACGAGACCGAGCTCATTCGATAGAGAATTCGATTATGAACAAAACCCCGTTGTTCTTTTTTGCAGAATGACTATCCCTGATTTTATAAAATTTTAAAACTGCACCCAAAAGCCTCCCTTTTGGCTCGAAAGGCACTCATGGTAAGAGACGGTCACTGGTATTTTAATTTTATAAAATCAGGGTTAGCCATTCTGCAAAAAAGAACAACGGGGTTTTGTTCAGAATCGAATTCTCTATCGAATGAGCTCGGTCTCGTAAGGTTTTGCCGATGACTCAAAAAAAGCACTCCTTGTCAGTGGTGCGACACCCGCCCTCCAGATACGAAAATCTTTGTCTTCTAAAAACATATTGTTTACCACCTAGTTTCACACGGTCTCGTACCTGGTCCCAACTATTTCCTCCTTCGGGCCCATCATTTTTTGAGGCCCAGCCCTCACATCCAACAAATTGCCCTTTCGTGTCAAGGCCTTCTCAACGTATGGTCTCCATTTTTGGCCCTTTAGCACCATAATAACTATTTCGATTTCAGTCTCCTACCCATCCCCCCTCAGCACATCAACATTCCCGGCTCGATCCGACACGGACATTTTGGGTATAATTTAACAATTACCAGAGCCTCCCTTCCATGCCGTCAAGTTGGCATCAGGGGCGAAATTGAAGCAGTCTGCGGAACGTTAGTTAAATGTTGAAACGAGGGCTGCAATATTCATAGCAACCACCCTCCGCCAAACCCCCCCCCCCAAATGGCGGCAGATCATTCGAAATTATATAAACCGTTCATCACCAGGGTTTATGTGGGCATTTGGATGGCGTGAATTGCATTGTTTCGCCATCCTTGCCTCAGAATTTCAGCGACCTGGACGTCTCTGTTCAATGCAGACTGTTATATTTCATTTTATAATGTGAAGGTTCCTGCTTACTAAAATTTTTTAATATATTGTTTAAAAATAGTTAGAAAGTTCTGGTCTATATAAACGTGGACGGGGGAGAAACTCTCCGGCTCGTTTTTCTTTTTTTTTATAGGCCTCGGTTTTTGGTTTTAATTTGTCCTTTGACAAGCTTTGATAGCAAAAGTCAATATAATTAATAATAAATATTAATATATAATAGGAACGATGCATCTAGGGCGTTTGTGCAAATTTCAAACATTTCTTAAAATTCAATAGGTGCATGAAATTTGCATAAACTGATCATATGACATAGCTAACGGTCATGACCATTTCCGAGTTTTAACAAACCTACCAATAATGTCGAATGAAAAAAGCAAATGCTTCTTCAATTGGCCACCTGCTCCTCCAACGACCTTATTGGCGGTATCCCCCATGCTTCTCCTTTTGGTCTCTCCTCCTCCCTCTCTTTACCTCGTTGTGGGTTGGGGTCGAGGAATGATGGTCTGCCGTAAATCTCTTTCTCAATAATGGGATCGAAACCAACAAGAAGGAGGAGGAGGTGGAGAGGGTGGAGGGCCTCATCCTCCCCATCTCGTGGTACCCTCTGTTATTTTCTCTGTATGGCTTAGGTTAACCCAATATGCATGTATTCGTCCATTTCCTTGGCGCGGACGTCCAGATTCCCCACCGTAACGCCTTTGAATTTCCTGTGGCGGCCTGACAATCACATGGCCGCTACAATTTCGGGTTGTGTGAATTTACTAATTAAAAAAATGGTTGAAGGACGCACGCCCACAAGTTGGATAATTTCGAGGTTTCATCTTGGCTACATGAGAGCCACGTGGGGATTGTAAATTCGCGTGACAGGATTAGGACTTATCAAACTATTTTTGTTAGATTGATCTGCACAGAAATACAGAACGACGGACCTCTCCAACTTGTTTTTTCTTCAGGTTTCATCAGGCAAGCTAACGTAGAATTTCCCAGCTTTATTTTCCATAAAAGTATTTTTTTAACTTTGAAGCGTTTTTTATGGGCTTTTCGGTAAGCTTTCTTTTCAATTTTTTGAAAATTAGATGGCGGCTAAACCGCCTTAAGCCGCATGCTTTAAAAAAGAGAATTTAGGAAAAGGTTTTTCTAGAAAAAAATGGGCGGAATTCCATCAGGAGACGAAATAAAGTCATAAAATGAATTTGTCATCTAAGTCTGAATCTTTCACAACCGAGTTTGAAAAAAAGTTTGCCAGGCATCCTTTTCGTTACTCCTCAAAAAACTACATCAATAGAAATAAAATTCTATTTTATGACGGCTTTTCCAGCAATTGTTTGTTGTTGATGATACCCCAAAAACTCTGTTCATCCTTAAAACCAATTTCACGCAGGGTTTAGCCGGCATAAATATTCGCAAAAAATAAACGTGACAAAGAGGCGGTGGGGCTGCTTTTAAATTATCATGAAGGTGGGGCAAGGCAGCGTGGGATGTGGAAGGAAGCTCGGGGGGCCAGTCTTTCGGGTAAAATATCGTCTTTTTCCCGCCACCATTCAGGCCTATTTCTTTTTTTTTCCGAACCGAACGTTCGTTTCTTCAGGTCTGCATTTTTACGGGCGGATTTCTGGCCTAAGCAATCATTATATGAAAGCCAATCCGTTGAAGCCATCATTTCCCAGGCCGACCCCCACGTGAAGCTCGTATTTCAGTGCATGAATAGATCAAGAGTCAGACACCCCGGTTTTCTCCCCGCGCTCCCAGAAATTCAGCATTGTTTCCACAATATTGCGCCGACCGCATGGGGTCCATTTTGGGGGATAATCCCCGCATTCTAATTGTTGGCGTGAAAACCCTAAAAAAACACCCCCAAAACCTAAATAGCGGCAGCCACGGTTAATGCTCTAATTCAGTTAGTCAGTTTAGCTGGCGGGAAAACATTTTTGGGACGGTTCCAGGTCCCTAATCAAGCATAACTTGTTTTGGGCTGTATTTTGAAAATAAGAAAATTGTACGTGATGATCGGGATTGCAGTTGGGATTTATAAGACTTGTGATCTGGTCAGAAGGTATCGAATTGCGTGTTAACGCAACATAAAAACTTGCTCCTTCTTTTTAAAAGCGCCGGCAAGGCTAGGTTTTTTTCCAAGCCATGGATTGCCTGGGTTTCACCTCGGCCGCTACACGCAACGCGGCAGAGATATTAGGAGGTCCATGTTTCCAAAAACATTCGTGTTTGTTTTAAAAATTGATTTTCTAAAACGGACTTAATCAGAGATTTTTTCTTCAATTTTTCGCTTCCTCTTTCACACCTTTTCCGGGTTATTTGCATGGGTGGGTGGCGACGGAAGGGTCGGCTTTCATTTGTTCGAACTAGTCATTACTTTTTGTGTTTGGGGCAGTCTATTGGTTGAAGTAAAGAATGGATAAAGTGGAGTTGCCCCTTAATAAAATCCGCGATAAACAATTACAAGTGGCCAGCACCTGCCTGTCGCCGCGCCCCTGGGAGGAAAGAACGGATTGCGCTTTTTTTATTACGTTACAACAGGTTTAGTATTTTTGGATTTTGATGCTATGCTAATTGGATTCTTAAGAAAGTCTTTCTTCTCTCCTGCCCGTCCTTTTTTAGGCCATACAGCTGGTCAGTCCCGAGGTTTCACACGCTTCACCATTTTTATAGACCATCGAATCCTGAACTAGCTTTTGCAAAGGTAGATGACAAATTCCTCTGGAAATTCCGTTCCAGCCGTTGTCATTTGTTGCCCTCTGTTACACAAACGATCATCTTCCCCATGTCAAACCCATCTATCTTTGACCCAGCGGCTTTTCCCGTCCACTCATCACAATCGACAACCCTTCACTGACAGCAACATGCATAATAGATTATTTCCTGGTGACATCGTGAATTTTGAAGGAGTGCTGGGTCCATAACTTTTTACGCGCCGTTGGGGCATGACGGGGGTGCGCATTGTTGTGCGTCGGTGTCTTGTAAAGAATTAGATCCTACTATATATAAAAAAATAGTGTCTGTGCGTGTGTATATTTGCATGCACTTCCGTTTGGATGTTCCGCACCTACAGGTTCAGGAAAGCATTTTTTCGGTAGGGAAGAAACGTCATAGGATAAAGAAGGGGCTGGAATCGACTGCACACTCATAAAAGTTTTGAAAAAGTGCTATTTTCGCTATTAAAATTAGGTTTTTGTAAAAATCTAGGCTTCCCTCTTTGTTAGGGAAAAATTAGCATAAGCCGGAAGTGGAGGTGGCTTATAAAAAGGAAGGGAGGGTGTGGTTTTCATTTTTTGGTCATCGGTTTTCAGCAAGAATTATGCAAAGTCTCATAGATCCTAGACGGGCCCAGGGTTGAAAAGCCGCGAAGCGGTTTTTCAACCCGGGTTGCTTATGAAAAAAAATAGTAAAAAGCAGTATCTTACCCAGCAAGGCGATTTTAATTAAAATATGTGGTTCTGGCTCTTGTTCCCACTTTATTAGCTTTTGCTTGCGAGATTTAATGCTCCAAGAACGAGGAAATCATACAAAAAAACTCGTAAAATTTTATTTATATGTATTATTTTTGGGCGTAATTTTTAATATTATGTTTTTTTTTAGGTTTTGTTTGTTTTGTTTGGTTATGCTTTAGGCTTCCAAAAATTTCTACGTAATTTAATATCATATTAAAAATTTATAGAATCCTATTAGATTTGTTGTTTTTCGAAGAAATTTGCAATGGTTATCTTTTTTGGAACATGTGATGTGCCAAAAACGAACGAACATCTGTCCGGATTTAATTCTATACAAAAAAGTTAGAAATTTTTATTAGATTTGCTGGTATAGGATATTGAATATTATGCAAATTTCAGTGCAATTCTTTACCAAAACGTTTCCTTTAAGTGTCCCCCCTTAATTTTCGGAAAACTCCCAAAACATTCCCCGTTTCCCCCTTAAATGCGTGGCAAAAGGCGGGCAAAGATGCCATTTGGCTCCTACAAAATTCATCTGGTCGTTGTTGGAGATGGATCGGCTAGGCAAAAAGCGTCGACCAAAAAAGGAGCCACCCCCTTCCAGGAGCCGACATTCCTCCGATGAATTGCCCCTCCCCAACCCCCCAAAATTCCAAACAGCCATCATCCCTTTATTCCCAACGCCGGCCATCACCCGGTCCAATTTCCGGGTCAAAACTTTCCCAAACCTACACTTTCCCCCGACTCTCATTGTCCGTTTTGCAACGCCCACAGCCGTTCCATTGGCCTGAGTGTTAAGGGTTGCAAACAAAAGCAAAGCAGCAGACGAAGCCCGAACCGTTTTCCCTCGTCTGAGTGGAGAATTCCCGTGGGTTTAGATGGCCGGTTCTCAGCCAAGAGCAGGGATTAGACCAATGTAGTTTGGCAATCTTGACACACCGGAAGCTTTTTTTGGGGTGCCCTTAAGTGGTTCGGGGGTACTTTTGTGGCAGAAGAGGTAGATCTAGATTTCAGTTCCGGTGGTAGGTGAGCGAAATGCACCTATTGGCTAGGTAGAACATCTTTGAAAATGTTAAACTAGATAACATTATTCGCTTGACCCCTCATTTTTATTCGTAAAACTTTAGGATTCGGACGCGTTTTTTGTGAATCTTAAAATATATTGCAGAACGGAAGCAAAATATCAGATTATTTGTTGACAATGTTGACCATTGCCCAGTAATCGTTTTAATTTTTATAATCCTTCTTTTTTTCTATGCTTTGAATGGCAATTCGACCAAATTTGAGAAAATTTTTGTTGAAATTCCAAAGATCGGCTACGACAATTTTGTTTTAATGGATTTTCGTGGGAAAGGGTTAAGCTTTTTATTACGCATTCAACCTTTACAAATTTGGTGATTCAGGATTTTGGCCAATTCCTGGTATGTGAAATAATCTCTTCCACCCATAGATCTTCGAAAACTGGATACCGACTCGCACTTTCTTGTTGGTTGAATGGCAAATGCCGTCAGAATCCGGCTAGAAAGGGGTGAGAAATGCGCATCATAAGAAGCTTGCCATAATACATTCATCCACTCGCGACATCGAAGACACAAAGCAGCGTTCCCTTTGCTGAACAATCATTAATCCAACAACCATACCTCCAAAATTGTTAGTGGAAATAGGAAAGCTCAATTGATACAACCACGCTAATTGGAAGTACAACCAGGGGACCACTTATTATGAGCGCTTTTTTCACGGTGTTTTCCAAAAAGCTCTATTGTTTATCGGAACATCAGAAAAATGTTTTCCCTGGTTGGTGTCGAACTAATTGGGCAGTGCATTTCTTGGGGACCGACACTTTCTCGCGAGATGATTCGTGTTGGACGCTGCCCCGGGATTTCAGCTGCTTTTCCCCGCTCCTTAATCTCGATCACATGGCAACTCGGGGCGGTCGTTGAAAGTCACATCATCCACCCCGCCTTGTCTTGTCCGTTCTATTTCAAGGGGGGGCAATGAGGGCGCATTGCCGGGAGATTGGTTCCAATTATTTGTGCCGAATTTTTCACCTGCCACTATGGCCTGATACACCCAACTCAACTGGGCCGGGTTACCACGCCCCTCCAGGCGTGTTACCTCCCCGTTCACGTTGCCCCCCCCCCCCCCTCCTGAAATGCAGCTGCTATATATTTTTTTTTCGTTAAGCACACTTTAATTGATGATCGATTAGTGGATCTTGATATTGGGATGTCAATTGCCACATTTTAGTCGTGTTTTACTTTTTCGCCTTGTAACAGAGATAGGTTCCCTCTGGTCCTCTGATTTAAAGAACACAACTTAATCCACCGGGAACATTAAATATTGTCATTTCTGCCCTTTCCCCGACACAGCAACAGGTGCCATTTTGGTCCGACCTTTTGAGGTTGCTTCGGTTAAGCCGACGGGTGACTAGGACAGATTTTCCCGCCCGATGACCAGTTGCCTGTCTCTTTTCCCCCTTTAGTGCGGCATCTATGTTAATCTAGCTTCCAGCATCTTCTTCCCTCTCCAAAATCCCTACCACCCCTCTCTTACGACCAGACATATCCTCATTTCCTTGATTTGCACTACAATGATGTATACACGGATGGGAATGTGTTTCGGGTTTGTTCATCATCCCAAAGAAGCGCATCGACAATGAGAGCAACGAGCTGAGAGGCGAAATGAGCTTGTGGTGTGGCCATTGAGACCCATCTATTCCCTTCCTTTCCTTTCGACCCCCTCTATCCAAGAACACGCATATAAATTGGTCGGTTTAACGTGATTGCTCTGCCGCCAGGGAGGGACCCCTTTTCTGGGTGATGGATGGTTGGGATGTAATTGTGGGATACTGTAGACACATTTTCTAATGATCCTGGTCGACACCATAAAAGACGTCCAGTTTGCGTCGCGTACCCGATCTGCCCGGCAGTTGGAGAGGAGAGGCTGCTGCCCAGAAGAAAGCGTAATTCATGGGTAATTCGTGGTAAATTACTGGGTTGTAAATGCTCGCGGCCGTGGCTGTCTCCGAAAAATGAAACTGTGGAGCCACATGTCAAATTGCTATTTTTTTCATACAATCTTTAGAATAACCCGGTTTGCGCCATTTCCTGATACCATCATTTCTAGTTTTACATCGTTTTGCACCAAAATGCAAAGACACTGATCTAAATCCGTAGCTTCCGGCTAACGCCCCCCCCGTTTCCGGTTTCCTGATTACAAATACCAAATCGCTCCCGAGTATGTGCATATTGCGTCAAATGTGCCACTACAATCCAATTGCCGACGGCACAATTTGTCGAAGCCCCCCGGAGAACATATTTTCTGCTGAGCCCCTTGAACGCTACAGACCGTGACTAGATATTTTGATTTATCTCGCCCTCTCGACCCCCGTGAATTCAGACAAAAATCATGAAGCCCTATCACGGCAACGATCTCCTGAACCCCTTGAACATGATCTCATTTCGTTTCAAAAAGCGTCTCTAGCTCGCTGAGTCAGTTCCGCACGAAATTCGATGCCGGGTTTCTGCACCAAATTTTAGAACAATTTTTGAGGAGTTGGGCGGGCTCCGTCGATTAATTGGATAGATCCTGCAGGGAGGGAGCCCGACGGCTTTTCTATTTTAAGTCCCCCATGCTCCTCGATTGCCCTTTCAAGCGCTTTTATTTTCCTTGATGCCTGGCTCTCAATATTTGTTGGGTTGGGGCTGTGATTTTTCCCATTAATTCTATATTTTTTGAGGGGATGGATGACGCGGTGAACTCGACGGCCAATGATACGATGCAATGCACGCAGGAGCTGCAGATGGATGATATTTATAAATACGGTAGGCAAGGGTCCGATCTATTTACAAGAAATGTTTTTAGGTTTAATATTTGCATACGGTGTGGTTGGTATTCTGTCGCTGGTCGGAAATTTGGTGGTCGTCCTGATTGTGATTTGCCGACGTGAGATGAGGACAGCAACTAACATTTTTATTTCGAGTGTGAGCGTGGCAGATTTGGTAAGTTGTTGCGCATAAAATGATTGCAATTCATCTTTTCGAGTTTTGCGATGTAGCATAGTACATTCGCTCAAGCCTCAAATTCTGAACAAATTTCCATCTTTAAGAAATTGCTGAATGCATACGGTTTTAGAGTAAATTACACCGAAAGGGCAGCGCTTTGGAAAACTCAAAGTTTTTTAATTTATCGCGAGGACCGAAGCCCTACCAATTTTGGAAAGATGGGCTGTATTAGAATTTCAATCCCTATCGCATAAGCGAAGTCAATTTTAAAACTACGAAAGCTTCCAAAAACGCAACACCTAAAACTTCCGGCTTCCCGGGATCAAAGCTCTTCCACAACAAACCCATCCATTCATTTACCCTACGTATTACGAAAGCTTTTCAGGTAATAACCCTGTTCTCACTGTGGGCCAGCCCGTTAGCCTACTATTATCGACACTGGTACTTTGGCGAAGCCATGTGTTACCTGGTCTACATGGTTCAGGTACGGAAAGCCCGAAAAGGACAGCCACAATCAAGCAAGAAGCCGGAAATAACACGGAGTTTTTTAGGGCGCTTCATTAATGTGGGCACCGCTGGCGTTGGCGGCAATTGCGGTCGATCGATATTTGTTGGTGGCCAATCCGTTCAGGGTATGGCATTATATCTTAAAACCTAGAATATGCAACTTTCAGCAACAATTGACACCATGCAGTTGTCTCATGGTGATAGTAGCCATATGGGCTGGTGGATTTATGGTGTTATCACCTATCTTCACTCACCTACGGTATTATGATTGGGGTCCGTGTCATAAAGTCAGTATTTCTGGTCTAATTAAATTTTTATTATCATACCAAAAAACATTTTTCTGTTTTTAGTACTGCATCGAACAATGGGATCCCCAATTCAACCGCCTTTATTATGGCGTTTTTGTACTATTCATCCGATCTTTCCTGCCACTCACCGTAATATCCTGGTGTCACTATCGAATTGCTTCCATCCTCTCTTCACAAAACTCCAAGCTACAAAAACATCGCTCCACAACCACGTAAGTTCCGCCCTCAATTTGTGGCCGGGTCGCAGGCAGCAAAAGTGCGGGTCGCTGCCATCATTAATTTGACCCGGAACGAAACGGATTAGGGCGAAAACCCGCCTGGCTTTATTGAATTGGGGCTCAAAAATAGCCTTGACAAAATGCGTGAAAACAGTGAATAAAGATAAGAAACAAATAATTTTAGAATTGGGGCATCTTTGGACATCCGGCGGAAACAACGGCTGCAAAAGTTGCTACTATCTATGGTATTGATTTTTGCTGTATCGTCACTACCTATGGATATATTTAACGTATATCAAGATGTGGAATTAAACTTTAAGGTAATGCGCTCTATTTTAGACCAAACAAATTTTTATAGTTTAATCTATATCCGCAACGAATAATCGACGTGTTGTATTATTTTTCGCACTGGTTGGCAATGACGGGGACGCTGTTGAATCCGTTGATCTACGCTTGGTGGAATGATAATTTCCGGCGTCAGATTAAGGTGGTTTCTCTTTTCGCAAACGATTATAGAAAACTATTTAGCTTATATTCCAAGAAATTCGGGGTGTGCGCCAACCTCCATTCCACTCCTCGTTACACGAAAAATCTAGAACTGAGAAGAATCATGACAGGGTTACTGAGCAACAGGTAAAAATGATAGAGCTTAATATACATTTGGATATAATCTGAGATATTTAATGTTTATTATTACAGATTGTCCTGCACTGTGCTGATGGCGAAGACGAGTCTAATGATATACAAATCTAATTTTATTAGCGTCAGGTTCTACTTTCTAGTCGCTGGGCTTTTCCCTCCTTTACCCTATCACTGTTCATGGTCACCAACGGGTTTTCGTGCACATGACCAGTTTCCCGGTTTACTTATCGTATTTATTTCTCTTTCTTTGCCTGGGGTGTGCAGTCAAATAAACATGGTTTATGCGAATTGATCGTATGCTAATTTCCAACCCAGACACTGCAACGATCCGTGTCTTGTGGGTACATCGTGGAGCCCTTGGGGCAGCTGAAGTCCCGGCCGAACTCTGGGATATCTTGCATCACATTGTTGGTGCGGCAGATTGAGGGGGCGTGTGGATCGACGAGAAGCTGAAAATATGAACTTTACTCTTGCATTTGCTGCTAATTGAAAGTTCTTTCGGCTATAATTCCTTGTACACTCAATTTGGCGTGGGAGCAGACACGTGACTAAATTGGAAGTGCAGGTTCATGGGTAAGGCTCAAGCGCGTTTCCACGTTGTTTTTTTTGCAAAACTTGCAATTCAGGCTTGGAAAAAACGAATGAGAAATAAATATACTAGTTAGGGCCACAAAAATTTTCCAAACCTGCTCCACAAGCGCATCTGTAGTCTGCTTTTCGCACCAGCTGAAACCGTAAGTGATCCAGAAGATTTGGTTTGGTGTGTATTCTTCAAGCCCGGGCAGCCGCGGCTCTTCGACGCCCTTTAGCGTGCTTGCTACGTAGTTGCGGTACGCTCGGTAGGCGGCTTGTTGGCCTGAAGGTTGTACATTGATTAAAACTATTTTAAAAACGTTTACCTCCAAGATCAGCAATATTTTCTCCTTGAGTAGTAGCACCATTGGCGCAATGGACATTGCCGGTCTTGACAGGGCAGCACTGGGTGCTGTACTGTGTAACCACACACTAATGATGCTATTCAAAAATCTGAGACAAACTTGCCTGTGCCATATCAGTAAAACCACTGGTCGAATTCATGTCCATCCATCCACAATGGAATGTATCACAGTTGGAAAGAGAACCATCGGGTCCGAATTGTACTCCTGGAAATATCAAGATGAAATCTGAAACCTTGAATCGATACCTTCGTCATCATAACCGTGAGTCAATTCATGTCCACCAGTTCCACCTTGGCCACCATAGTTGAAAGCTTGCGGCCAATCAAAGCTAAAAATAAAACACCCCCATGCAAAAAATTCTCCCCCACTCACTTGTAATAAGGCGGATTGAACGCCGCATAGGGGAACGTAATTGAATTCCTTTCCGGTTGGTACCAGGCGTTGACCTCGGCAGGTGATTCGAGGAAATTCGATCTGAATATGCGTGACCTTCAGTCTACCGGAGGGAAATAACCTATCGGCCGGTTCATTAAGGAGTCGCCAGGCTTCTCGGGATTGGATAGCGGTTTTCAGGGTAAGCATGATATCGTAGAAATCGGTGTCGGCGTAGGTGGTGATTGCAGCGTAGTCCTAAAGTTTTAATGAATGCATAAGTGGATGGCCATGGACTTGCAAAGGTACCCGGAATTACCTGGTGGTAGGTGTCAAGCGCTTGTGCGTTTGAAAAATCGCCAAACATCTTTGGGAAACCGACATTTTGGATCAGATTGGCAGCTAAAATTTGATAAACAATCCCGGAGTTGGATACCTTTGGTATATGCATTACTCTTGCTAGCACTTGGCATCCAAGTCAACGTTCCGATCATATCCTAAACAACTTTTTGAAGCGACGCGTTGTTCTTACTTTGAATGAAGAAATAATGCGTCCTGTCTGATCGCTAACATCTCCCAAAACAGCAGCCCTAGCCTTGGGATCAAGCTGCTTGCCGTAGACGTATCCTGGAAAATGCTACCTTATACAACCCTTTTTCATACCTGGGCCGTAAGGCATATAATCCATGATCAAATCAACGCAGTAGTCTCCGTTACTGTCAAACTTTTTGGGGGTGTTTCGTGCCCCGATTCTAGCCAAACCACGCCCACGACGACGGATGTAACGGACACGGTCGTGCTCCTTTGCCCAGGCGGAGAACGAATCTCCCAAGAAATCATATGAATCCTGGAAATTGGTTTTAGTTGTATTTATACTCCCATCACTTACCGATATAACCTGGACAGTAATATAATTCAAAATTGTCGACTGCTTGTAGAGATTTCCAGAAAACAAGGAGGCAAGCCATCCAAAGTATGAGGGCTCCCCAACAATCGCCGAATCATCAACCATAGCGCGGGAAGACATATTCAACGGATAAAACAAGTTGCTAAATTATCTATTTCTATCAGAAAAACTATTTCCCTCTTACTCAAAGTATGACTCCCATTCGACGCCTGGGTAGGTGGACTTTAGCTGGGCCAGCTTGTACGGATTATACATTTGCTGGTAATTTCGCATCTCCTCATCTGGCCACGAAGCCAAAGCGATTGCGATTTCAAAGTTCACGACGTCGGCGGCAACCTAAGGAGTACGTTTGAATTGGGGTTTTTTAACGCTTTTTACCTCTTGTGCAATAGCTTTTGTGATGGACTGACCGCTGGCGGCAGCAAAGAGGCGAATTAACTAAATCAAGAATGGCATGTTTTTCTAGTTCTAAGTTTACTTGAACATATTCATCAACGTGATCTTCCATAATCGTCAAAAACTGTGGTTTAACGTAGTAGTCGCGTGGAAGAGGCAGAGCTGGCTAAAAGCGGCATTTTGGAAAAGAATCCACCAAGATACCTGGTCCATAAACAACGCATTAGAAGTAATATTTTTGTAGTCAACGGTGGCATAAGAATTGATGAGGGTGCCAACAGCATGCGAGCCTTCGAAATATCCGATACCCTTCCATAGCGCTTGGTTTGGCATTGAGAAAGAAGCGTTGATCGATTGGAAAAGCGGAAGCTGCGTGAGGTTGAATCTAAATAGATTTTAGAGCCTTGAATTCCCTGTTATACCGGGTCAAAAACTCTTGATGCAACTGCTTTGCGTAAACCGGTGGGGAGCGCGAGTCGTAGAATTTTTGGCAAGCATCGTATGCCTAAAGAAATATTTTAGTGATATTAAACTATGTATTTACCTTCTTCGTAATTTTCTCGGTTAGCGAGCTGCCCGAATTTACATTGTCCAGGGCTGCAGCAATGGCTTGATTGACGGCTGTTTGGGCTTCATCATAGACGCTCACCCTAAACGTTAGAAATTACAGATAGCATTCGATCAGTCGTACTCATCACCACCATGCAGCTTTGCATTTTTAATATAAGTGTTGCAGGTAAACCCGTAGAAATCTTCGCCTAAACAAAAAAATTAGACTGTGTAAAATCCTTTACAAGGGTTGACTGTTGGATCAATTCCACGTAGAATGTAAGCAGCGGCTGCCTAGAAACGCATTTAAGTTATCCTAAACGTTAAGGGTAAGATACCTTAGACCCAGTACTGTTCGAAACGACAAACGGAGCCGTTTCCGCTAGCTTGCAAATATACGCATGCTTCTCGCTGCAGTCCGCCTTGAACCATTTACCTGTATCTTTGTCAATCAAAAGACATCCACCAGTTGTCGAATCTGATTGGGAGCTTTTGTTAATTTATCTGGACATACTATTCACATTGTTGTATGTAAATGGCAGCCCGTCAGTCCACGAATATTTGCTACCATCGTATTTTCCACCAATCCAAGCTTTTGTGCCAGCTGGAATTTGTAGCTACAGGGTGTGCAAAAAAAAAAGACCACAGTTTGGGTCGAAATAACTCGCGAACGGTAGAGAATCGAAGGTACGTTACCATGCCAGAATGCTTAAATATGCTGGGTATGAAGATTTAACACAACTTGATTTTTTCGATTTTTGAGTACACAACTGTACTATTGACGCTGGTTACGACCGAAAATTGTGCGTTCTTGAACGGGAGGTGGGAAAATTCTGATTTTTGGCCTAAAAATAGTATACATTTGTAAAAATGTAATGGCAAACTCTTAGAATTTATCGAGGTCAATTTCATTTTTTAAAAGCAAAACAATTTTCGCGATTTTGCGTTATTTTTGTTCTTTGAGTCATAACTCGCTTATAACTCGCTGCCCATGGCTGATATTTTGTCAATGACCTATCCAAATATTAATCTCGGATTCCACACCAAATTCCACCACAATCTATGGTATTTTTGTATTGCTTGCTAAAACGTGCCCCAGCGGGGTACTGTAAGTTTCGTTTTTCCCGCTTTTCTCGGGGCCCCTAGCTTCGATTCGGCTAAAATTTTCTGGGTTGTTAGGCAATAAGTAGGGGCACCTTACTGCCAAATACGAGAGCGTGCTATCCACAAACTTTCATGAAAAAGACTAAAAACAGATTTTTTAATTCTGTGGCAGAATTTTGTAAATTTTTTGGTCAATTGGTCCAAAAACTGCTACTATTGGTTTTCCGAAAAGATCGAAGCGATTCCATGGCAAAAACACCACGAAAATCGCAAATTTCGGTTTTCTACAGTAACCCACGTGGAGCGCGTTTTAGGATGCCATCCCAAAATTCCATAAAGTGACGGTTTTTTCTATTCGAGGGCCTTCTAGAGTTGATTGTAAGATAACCTGTGAAAAATTACTGATTTTGGGTGGTAAATAACAAAGTTACGAGGCCAAGTGCAAAACAAGGCCAGAGAGCCGATTTTGGGTCCGAGTAGCCGGGTCAATTTTCGAAATTTTAAAAATAAAAAACCACCTGCATCTTATGGATATGATTATAGCTTTGATGTTATTATCTACGCCCGTAAAATTTGGGGGCAATCTGATTCAAAATTATGGTGACTTTCAGCTCAAAATCGAAGATCACCCTATTCCAAAATCGAAGTTTAGAAATCTTCTTAAAATGTTTGCGACGTGAAATTGCTTTAATCTTTGCATAGTTTTATTCAACTGATGGCACTGTCTTATTGCTCAAAATATCCCTACGACTCCACCTTCCAAAATTTTTTGACGCAACCTCCAATTCGGTTTATTTCGGGTTTTGATGAATTTTCCTGGCGCCAACCGCTGGTTAAAAAAATCCATGAATAAGGCTTTAGGATGCGCTATTCAAATTATATCAGATAAAAATAAAACGAAAATTTTCAAAGCGCGACTAAATTTTATAAAATGGTGACAATATTCGGAAAAAAGCACGAACGAACCGTTTTGGAGGCCCTAAAAGACGCCCTTCCAAAGGGGTACGGTAGCTCGACATTTTGTAGATGACAGATCAACCCAGAACTACATAGCTAAGCAAAGAAAACAGATGAGGCCCCTTTGGCAATCTAGAAATATTTTTCCAAAGCTGGGTTTCGAGACCTGGAAAAATCCATGACCAGGGGGTCGTTGAAAAACTCGAAAATTCGTCGATCTCAAAAAATTCCTTAATATGTTTATGCGATTGTGTCAAGCCTGTAGGCATTCCACAACAACTGATTTTGAGGTTTTCGCCATAGGTTTTTTCCATATTAAAAATTTTCGAAATTTCTCCATACAAAATTTCATTCCTCTCTAACTTTTCTACCAGACCCTCAAAAATTCTTAAATTTTGTAGGTAGGTATCTGCTGCCGAAATTAACTTACTTAATAAAAACTAGATGCCAGCCACCACAGGAAACTGAGAAAAGTACAAATGAAGTTTCCCCGAACGCACAGTTTTCGGGTGTCATTTGTATTGATACGTCGCCAAAAATCGAAAAAATCAAGTTGTGTTAAATCTTCATACCCAGCATATTTAAGCATTCTGGCATGGTAACGTACCTTCGATTCTCTACCGTTCGCGAGTTATTTCGACCCAAACTGTGGGTTTTTTTTTTGCACACCCTGTATAGCTGTTTTGATAATTTTTTTTGGCTTACCAGGCATGTTTTGAGTCAGGTACAAATTCTCAAACGCGTTCATGATCGAGGCAAGGGAACTTTGGAAAGTAGATTCAGATGCGCACTGCTGGTTTGCCGTCTGCTGGTCCAGCGTTTTCGAGGTGGTGAATTCATAGCAGTATCCATTGAATAGCTAGAATCCGTAAAATGGTTGAAGCATTAGTTTGCTTACCTGGGTGCCGCCAGGGCAAGTTAAGCCTCGGGATAACCCAAAAACGGCCAGCAGGACCGCTAAGCTTCGGAAGCCCATGTTCGGGAAAATCCAGAAAGCGTTATCGTGGCATCCAGTAGGCCATCGAAAAGGCCCGTAAATTTTTATCTGTGGCTGCTTCGACGGTGTTTGAGTTTATTGCGTTTTAATCTTTAGGTAATGATTAAAACGGTCAAAAAGGTCAATCCGGTAAAATGGCGGGCCTTGCTCTTTTTTTGCCATTTTTTTATCAGGGATTTTTGTAGAGGATAAACTACAGCTGTGTGTTTTTAGTCCTGTTAACTGTGTTTTAATACACCTCAAAAGAAACAAATAAATATTTATCTAGTCAAATTAGAAATTAAGCTCCGACCCAGACTTTGCATCTGTTGTTATCCTGAGGATACATGGTGGAACCCCTCGGGCAGCTGAAGTCAACACCAAATTCGGGGATATCTTGCATAACATTGTTGGTCCTGCAGCTGGCTGGTGCGTGGGGGTTGGTGAGCATCTGAATGAGCAATATTTTGGTATTATCTATCTATACTAGCCTGTTTGACCAAGCTATCCGTGGACTGCTTCATGCACCAAGAGAATCCATATGTGATCCAGAAGATCTGGTTCGGGGTGTATTCCTCAAGTCCCGGAAGTCGAGGCTCCTCGACACCTCCCAGTGTCTCCTTGACGTACTTACGGTAAGCGCGGTAGGAAGCTTCTTGTCCTGAAAAACAGCTCATCGTTGCGTTATCTCAACGCTTACCTCCAAGATCAGCAATGTTCTCTCCCTGGGTGGTAGCACCGTTGGCGCAGTGGACATTTCCGGTCTTGACAGGGCAGCACTGGGTGCTGTACTGTGTAACCACACACTAATAAAAATATTTACAGTAAATACTAAGAAGCTTGCCTGGGCCATATCAGTGAAACCGCTGGTCGAGTTCATGTCCATCCATCCGCAGTGGAAGGCATCGCAGTTCGACAAAGATCCATCAGGTCCGAATTGGACTCCTGAAAAATGAACGTATTAATCTTCAGGTTCACACCTTCATCATCATATCCGTGGGTCAATTCGTGTCCACCGGTTCCACCCTGTCCACCATAGTTGAAAGCCTGGGGCCAGTTGAGGCTGAAAAGCAAAGCAATTAGAATTTTTCGGGGGATTATACTTGTAGTAAGGGGCATTGAAGGCAGCGAAGGGGAATGTGATGGAATTCCTTTCGGGCTGGTACCAAGCGTTGACCATGGCTGGGGACTGGATGAAGTTCTTGCTGAAAATCATAGGTATCGATAGGACCTATGATAATAAATACCGATCGGCTGGCTCGCTGAGGGGCCGCAGACTTTCGCGGGTTTCCATACCAGCCTTCAGAATCTTTTGGATATCCCAGAACTTGGTTTGGTCGAGGTCGGCAATCGGAGCATAGTCCTAAAGAAATGCTGCATTAGGTGCCATTATTGCTTCCTTATACCTGGTGGTATTTATCAAGATCGCTTGTATCCTTGAAATCCTTGAACATATCTGGCCATCCAACATTCTTGATGAGACCGGCGGCTTTGATATAGGCATTGGACTTGCTGCCGGGCGTCATCCATCCCAGAGTATCGATCATTCCCTAATCCACAATTTCGATCCCACCCCTCCGAACGATACCTTGAACGAGTCAATAATGTTTGTGGTCTGCTGGCTGACATCCTTGACGGTAGCCTGACGAACGGTCTCACCGACTTGCTTGACGTAGACGTAGCCTAGATTGCTTTCTACGATAATTTTTGGCACCCTTACCAGGTCCATATGGCATGTAGGCCATGATCAAGTCCAAGCACATATCTCCGATATCATCGAACTTCCTCCTTCCTTCGCGCGCTCCAACTCGGGTCAATCCAACACCGTGTTGCATCAAATATGGCAGGCGGTTGTTCTCTTCAGCCAGCTTCAGGAAGTCACCAGCAAGGAAATCAGCGGAGTCCTGAATGGCTCTATGCAGATTAAAAACAAGAACCCACGTAAAGAGCCTGAATGGAAATCCAGTTGACAATCGTCGAGGACGGGAACTGCTTTCCGGCAAAAAGCGAGTTCAACCAAGCAAAATATGAGGGCTGGCTGACAATGACTTCATCGGTCGAGAAGATGTTAGAGGTGAGGCCGGCGTTTTGGAGCAGCTTGCTAAATAGACCCTAAGCTAGCCAGATTCATGCTTTACTTTAGGTATGCGGTCCATTCCACAGTGGGGTAAGCGCTCATCAGCTTGTTGAGAGTGTACGGATTGTACATTTGTTTGTAGTTTCGCTGCTCCTCATCGGGCCATGAAGCCAAAGCGATGGCGATTTCGAAGTTGACGGCGTCGGCAGCGATCTTGAGTAATTGAAACTTGTCTAATGGATATTTAAACTACCTGTTGGATGTTTTCCGGCTTGACAGTCTTTCCGAGAGCCTTTGCCCACATGCTGATCAGCTAAAATAGCTTTTTAGGTTGACGGTAGCAAAAGTACCTGAGCGTACTCCTGTACGTGAGCCTCCATGATGGTCAAGAACTGGGGGAGGACGTAATAGTCACGTGGCAAGGGGAGACCAGGCTAAACCATACAGATTAGTAAGACTTCAAGAACAAATTTCCACACCTGGTTCATGAACAACGCGTTCTGGGTGATATTTTGGTAATCGACCGTGCTCCAGGAGAATAAAAGACTTCCAAGGGCGTGTGTACCCTCATAGTAACCAACAGCCGACCAGATTTGGGTGGACGGAATCGAGAACATGGCCGTGGGGTCCATGAACAGAGGCAACTCTGGGATGCCGAAGCTAAAAAGCGAGGTTGGGTTTCAGACTTCATACGCACGCATTTGTCATCTCTGTGTAGATCTGCTTCGACTTATCATCGACGTTGTCCTGGCCATAGTTATAGACGCAAGCTTGATAGGCCTACAATAATAAAATTAATATTTTGTTTTTGAGGTCCCTACAGCCTTGGTGATCCTCTCAGTCAACGAGCTGGAGGAGGTGACGCTGTCGAGAGCACGAGCGGTGTCGTTGTTGACGTGGGTCTGAGACTCACCGTAGACGCCGATCCTAAAAACAAAATTAAACGTCTGGCAGGTATGTAGATACCTGGGACGGCCATTGAGGATGGTGTTGTTCAAATACGTGCCGCAGGTGAATTGATAGAAGTCCTCGCCTAAACGGTTAGAACTTAAAAACCGGTTAACGAGCTCTAGAGAGATGACCGGGCAGCTACAAACGAGGGTACTGCGGGTATACTTCTTCGGGGCATTGCGGCATTAAGGAGAGGTTTAAATTATTCTCGCGACCCAATTTTTCCATACTAATGTGCAAATTTTCCCCACAGATGTTCAATCATATCTTTAGTGCGTCAAAAGGTAACCCTTGCGCACGGCCGATCGAACTCGACTTGCTAGACTTTTTTAAAAGCTGTTGAAAGAATAAGTTCATTCCCGGAAGTTTTGTTTATCTTCACCCCCCTCAAATCCTCACATGGATTGGCAGTTGGGTCCATCCCCCGCAGCAAGTAGTTCGCAGCGTCCTAAACAACAAGTTTCAAGAAAAGAATTGCTGATAAGCGGGGTGATAGCGCCAGATCACGTCACTACACACCTTCCATTGGGTGTTATTAGAAATAACTGGCGGGTCAGTTGCGGTAATTTGGCAGACGAAGGCTTGAGGACGGGAACAGTCAACGCGCAGCCATTTTCCAGAATCCTTGTCCAGTAGCAAACAGTCACCACCGCTCGGTTTAGCTGAAACAAATATAATATAAAAATGTAGGGTGTCTACTGGTATCGATATTGTTAAAGGCGAACGGAAGCCCATCAGCCCAGGCATATGTGTTGTTGCTGACTTGCTTGGCTCCGAGGTAAGCCTGTGCTCCCGCTGGAAGTTCTATGCGTCGATTTCTTTAATATTTCAAACCCGGTAGAAGTCTGGCGATGAACAGATTTTCAAACATATTCATCACAGAAGCCAGATGGCTATTCGCCATCCCCTTTTTGGCACAATACGAATCGGCGGTGTCATAATCACTAGGGAGGCTGGTTAAAGCTTGGTAGCAATAACCATTGAACTCCTTGAAAATGTGTAAATAATATTTGCATGCTGATGCGCCATACCTGACTGTTATTAGGACAGTTAAGGGCCCAAGTTGTGCAGAATAAAGCTAATCCAACTATTAACCTCATCCTGAAAAGGCAAATTTAGCTTGACGCAACGGGTCAATGAATTGAAAGGTGCCTACAACGCGAATTCAGGAGCCGCGCCCGAAACTGCTTATCGCCCGCAGTACCGCCAAGATCATGATTTTATGCGCTTTTTATTGCCGCCCATTTGCATCATATCTCAAGAAGGGGTCGTCTGTATGTCTGTCGCTCTCTTTGTATATTCAGCGCCCTTTGGCCAGCATTTTCCAATGCCGTCATTTTCTAGGTTGAGACTATAAGCTGTCGACAATCAAAGGAATTCATCATGTAAAAATTTATTCATTTGAAGAAATCGAACAAAAAATAATGGTGAAAATGGGGCGAGGAGATTTGTGGGTGATTGACCTAAAGGAGAGCCAGCTTTTGGGGGGCCGATTGACGAATAAGCTCCAAATTCCAGAACAAACACACTTTCGATACACAGACATTCACATCGAAATGAAGATGGAAATTGGGAGCAGATTTGGAGTGACAATTGAAGAGGTTTTGTTAGCATGTTGAAGCTAGTGCTCATTTGACTATATTCCCTAGAAAGTATCCAGCGCTCAATTTGTACCAAAATTGGGGGAGAACTTGCCGTTAAATTATCAAAACGAAAAATATAAAGAAACCCTTTGAAAGATAGCAGGACAAGGAGCTGTGTGTGTTTTGTAGTTTTGCGTAAAAGAAAATATCTTATGACAATTGAGAAACAAAAGGCTGGGTGTCGAAGAAGTGGAGGAAGCCAATCTGATGAACAAACAAAAATGAACTGGGAGGGACGATTAATTCCATAGAAAGTCTAAGAATGGAGCAAAATCACAGTGGTGACATATATAAAATATATAAATTTGCAAATAATATAAAAAGAGTGGCAGTTGCACTAGAAAAGTCTTATTAGCATAGTGGGAGTTGGAAAGGTCCAAAAAAATAGAAGACGAACGATGTGAACCGGGGTCATTGAGTTTTGAGGGATGGTTGGAGAGTTTGAAAGTCTGCGGTGGTTTGACGCAGGAAGGAGGGATGGATAGGCACCAAGAAGGAAGTTTGATTGAGGTCTTGGCCGGGATTGGTAATTTTTCAGATAAAAATTCAAGCTTTAAAAATCGTGGTCTACCTTTACTATGAAATTACCATTCCAGCGACCTTTGTTGGGCAAAAAGTGAACGCGGCACATTGGTGTGTGGGGTGTTGTATTTCAAAATTGAGTTGTATGAGTTGGTGGCTGTGGTGAAGAAAGGATTCGGAATGGCTATAGGGGGGTGAAAGGAATAGTTTCCTAGATTAGGCTACGGTCGACCGGGCAAAACGCCGAAAAATAACCCTATAAGGAGACTGGCGAGCAGCAGTTGCGTCGTCGTCGCGATTGATGGTCGCAACGCCTCGTTTGTGCTGCTCCGTAGGCCCGCGTTGCCTGAAATCATCAGATAAGGCCTAGTTTAATCATATATTTTATAGAGAAAAACTCAAGTCTTTTCTCCCACTCAATATGAAGTCCCCTAATGACCGTATTTTTCCGCTGTGAGCAGTATTTTCGCTTAATTATTGCCTTGTGTTTACCCCGGAAAACTACAACAAGCTTAGCTTACCAATACGCTTATAACATTTTTTCGGTACCGAATGTAAATTCTAAAAAAAAATCGACAACGTTCCAGGCAAAACCTGCTATCAATAACACTCAATATAGCATTTAGGAACTATGTTGCTTTCAACCCACGTTACTGATCATACCATCCCCAAAACCATATTACGAAGGTCTTTTGCCCATTTTTCAATCCTAGCGTGTTCACCCCAATAAAAACGTAAAACCCTTATCGAAGAACCCTCAAAAAAGATCGGAAACCCATAAAAGTTGCGAACAGACGGCCCCGCCGAGCCCCGAAAAAGCAATAGAACAATTTTGCCCAGAAGCAAGATCAAAATACAAATAGAAGATAGAAAATCGGACCTGTTCTCATTCTGTCGTGAGCTGTATTCTTACAACTCCTTCTCCTCGCGTTACAGTGTTCATTGGCAGCAAAGAAGTCGTTGCCACTTCTTTTATTGCCGGCCCTTGAGCTTGTATCTGAAAATGGGTAATGATTGTTGAGAGCAACAACTTTTCAGCTTACTTAACGAGACGACTCCTCGAACATCACACGGGTGGACGCAATTGCAAGAGTAAGCATCAAGCGCGTCGCCGACCGGTATGTGCATGTCTGGAAATGGATATTATAGAATTTCATGACGATTATGCCCGAGATCCAATGTTTTCTCGGGCATTTTAGCTTCATCGAATGGCAGGGCTCGAACTCTAATTTCGGTTTTGTAAGAATACAACCGAAACATCCCAGTAAACCTGGCCTTCTTGAGTAGGACTTATGCACTTATTTACGCAGAAACACGAAGAGAAATGACAGATACTTATGTTCATAAATCCAACCCCCGAACGTTCGTTTTAGAAGGAGCATGATATCCCCACTACAGTACGCCCGAGAAAACAATCATTTCCAGTTTTACTCAAACACCGCCAGCTTAATTTAACCCCCAGGATACACCCATCGTCAGCCTCCAATCCCCCGTGAATCCGTTTCCTCACCACCCCCCTGAAGCCAATATCCAAACCACCCGGTCACACTCATTCTTGACTCATCAATTCAATGCTCCACCACCCCGGGTGCTCCCTCATTCCCCTTGCCGTTCCCAAATAGTTGAAAAATGATGTGGTTTCGCTAAAAATACCACCATTCATTTCTTGGTCCCTCCGCGCCCATCCCGACATGCAAGCAGCTTGGGAGGCAATGGGCGAAGGGGAGGAAGGGGCTAAAGGATGCTCTCCCCGGCTTCGTTTATTTGAGCGGCATTGTCCAGCCCCGACCCCGGGGCGGGAAAGAGGAGGGAGAAGGGGGGAAGAGCAGCCTTCTGGCCTTCATTTCGGGCTCGCCCTCCCTGCGATTTTCCATTACACTTCGCTAGTGCCACACACGGGCCGGCTGCCAAAACGGCATTTCGGGATGGCTGAGGGTGCGGGAGGAAGGGGGGGTGAAGGCAACGCCGTCCGGGACACGGCAAATTACGCACGACGACCTCATCGAGGGCTCATTCCGACGAAGGGGGGGGGGGATGCCTGCGCGCGACAATGAGGATGGCGGAGCCGTCGAGTGTGTTTGAGACGGGTCATTGATCGGCTATGGCTATGGAGGTCAGAACAGATGGCGTTGCTATTGGGAGGGATGGAGAGGAGTAGAATATTTCCGTTTTGAGAGGTTGCGGAGCGCCGAATGAGTCATGGAAAAGGGTTTCTGTTTTACGGGCTGGCTTATATAGGTATTTGATACCAAAAATAGTATCTACGTGTCTATCTGCCAGAATTTGCATAAACGTTTGCAGTTATATTTCGAACCTACATCTTTATGGTAAGGATTAGAGTGTGTCGTTTGCAAATACAAATCCACTTTGAATAAATAAATCCAAATAACGGATATTCAAATAATCCAGAACCGTTATTTGAATAACCGTTCTCCCGGGAGTGCCGATTCAAATATATTTGAACATGTTCAAATAAAACCGAGCTTTGTCAAATCGCTCTCCTTTTGACAAAACCTAGTCAAAACTTTCATTCAAATAAGAAATGTCAAATTTCGAGACCAGTTAGGCTAAAATATCAACCGCCAAATGTCGCGCAGCCCTGCAACGCCGTTTTTGCAGAATGCCGGCATCAAAAATATCGACAACAAAAATGCCGACACAAAAAATTTTCGATATAGATGTTAGCATTGCATTTCGGAACAAAACCTTCCGTCGGCATTTTCGCGTTTCGGCATTTAGCACGTCGGCATTTTCAAGTCGGCATTCTGACAGTTGTTGTATGGCGCTTGGTGAGCCGATAGGCACTTTGGTTGTCTGCCGCTGATTCCGATCACCGAAAACTGGAAACCCTAGCAATCCCGAAATACCGAAAAATACCGTCATTTTTCACTATTCGGCATTATAGCATCTAGGAAATGGTCGGCGGTGCTATTCTAAGGTCAACAAAGGCCCTTCTTGAATCCATGGGCGCGATTTTTTCAAATTTCGTTTAGCTTGTCTAGCTCGGATTTATTTGAATATGTTCAAATATATTTGAATCGGAGCGGAGGTGGTTCCGTTATTTGACCGATTATTTGAATAATTTCCGGGATGCCTTCAAATAATTTATTTGAGCGGGCTCGAATATATTCAAATAATTATTCAAACACGACACACTCTAGTAAGGATTGAACGTTTTGAAGTCGTGGGCGCGTAGTGGTCCCGAGGCGACTGCATTAACCTAGCTTCTTCTAGGATCCGCGGTTTTACGTATCCAATTTAAATTTTTGTGAAAATTCGGGTCACGCTTTTTGCTAAGACGCAATTAGCAGGCACGGGATGTAAAACTGACGTAAACAAAGGACCAAATTTGCGATTTTCCGGCTTCAAGGAGCGTATTGAGGTAAAAAACTGTAGAGCTGTTTTTCAAGGGGGATGTAATATCGTTTACAGAAGTTTAGACAGACCCAAGCATACCAATGACCAAAGAAGCCATTTAATCATTTCAAAATACTTACCGCGACACTGAAAGCTGGGATGTCCGGCGTAGTCGACAACCTTGCTGGTAGCCAGATGTGGACATGCCAGCTGGGCATAGTAGCACCAGTTTATGCATGGTGGACGTTCCCAGACGTCTACTAAGTGCACGAGCAGCCACCGACCGTACCACGTCTGAAACAGAATTATTTGATGCACAATTTATCCACATCTCCATCACCTCCCCTCCGATTCAAACTTATCGACATTTGTGTTCGCGTTGGTTCCCCCTTCCGAACATTCATCACCATCCCTCATCTTCTCCCTCCTAACCACCCCCTTTCGCCCTCACTTTTCCCCTCAACTCAAACCCTCAGAAGCGCGCACCACCAACCCAACGCCTTCTCCACCCCCCTCACCCTCCCCGCAGTTTGGAAGGCGAGTTTGTGGCGATAAGTGCGTGGTGGAATCAAATTTGAAACTAGTCGCGAAGCGCGCTCGAAAAATCGAATGCTCGCACACCCGCTCCGACTAAGGGGGGTTAGGCCCGCCAGACGCGAAGAAAGTCGCTGAAAAATGTGCTCGCAACATGCGTCCCCCTTTTCCTTTTCTGGGGGCAACTCCTCCTCCGTTTGGCCACCCTTCTAGCCCCCAACCCCTCACTAGTCATAAGCGGGAATTTGAGCTTGGTCGTGGCCACGGATCCCTCGATGTTAGGGGGGAAGGGAGGCACACACACAACCCGGCTCATTTTCTCCCTAATAGCGTTTGCACGTTTCGAGCGGGCGGTGCCAAGTCGCAGCTCGACCCCCGGGATCCTTCTCTCACCCTGGAAGGCAAATAATATTAGTGGTGGGGAAATTATAATGATTACATCATTTTCACAGCCATCTTCCGGGGGAGTCTCCCAATTCAGCGGCTTCGGATGGGGGTAAGTGGGAGCAGGGCGCCCGCAAAAATGGGTGTGATGAGTTTGTGAAAATTGGAAAGACCATTTCAGGTTGAAGAAGGGTAAGCGAGATTTGGGTGTGAACTGATCAATGGTTTCAAGAACCATAAGTTAATAGATGAGGACAGTTATGGTCGTAGGGTGACGCCGGTGACGTGATTTGGTCTTTTAATTGGAATTCCCCGATTCATTAGGTGGCCAGAAGTTCAAATGAGATATCAGCTGTCAGGGAAAATGGTGATCTTGACCAGAATGGGTTAGTAGGCATTTGACGCGTGTTGATGTTTTGCGAATGAATTTCTTGTGGATAAATAATTAGATGACAAAGATACTTTTCGACGCTAACTCGCAAACTATAATAAGCACCTTTCCTCTGCAAAATTAAAATCCAGGCGTGCTTATAATTTGCGGCTTCCGCGGAGCGTTTTCAACCACCCAGCTCCAGATGTTTGATCCTAACAAACATGCGACTAAACCATGAACTCGTTTAGTCCCCCCGACTTTCCATTTTTAGCACCCGACAAGTCCAAATTTAGCCGACGATGTGTGGGACTGGAAAACGAACCGAGTTGCGGCCCCAGGGATGAGTGGCTTTAGACTAGCCCCTGTTGCGTCACGAAAAGTGTCCCCCCCACCCCACACACAAACTACAGCTCTTCTACTCGTCGTCCACTTGCCCCCCACCCAAATCGAGCAAGGGCTATGTGGGGCTCGCAGTGGAATGAAGCGAGTAGACAGGGAGCTGTTTTCTCCTCCCGTCCACCCAGCCCGCATATCTAATGGAGTCGAGGGACCCCCCGATTGCCCAACAAACGGAATTAAGCGAATCAAAATCCAAGGGACCGGGCCGCCCCGACCCGAATTTTTTTTGGCGCACCTCCACTAACATGAATGTTCCCCCTGCTCACCCTCTCTCCTCCACATCCGCCCACATAGAATTGAATTTTTAATGGATCACCTGAATTTTTAAGGTCAGGAGACAATTCGCGGGCAAAAAGACACGAAACAGCCTGGGAATACATCGCGCATGCACCGAATCTTTGGTCACTCACTGGTGGGCCCACCCTCGCCCGTGAATGGATGGCCGTCCATGTCGCTGAATGGGCAAAAAGGCTGTTGCTCGGGAATTCATTCTAGAGAGTGGCCCAGGTCGGCTCCAGGGATGAGTGGCTTGGCTGACTGGCTCCAGGGATTTTTGAACGGGTCGACGTGGGTTTCTTTAGCAGCTAACTGATTAGCCCCGGGTTCCTTTAGATGTTTTTTATTGCGCCCGGCAAGCCGGAGCAGCAGCTCAAAAGACTGAAAAGTGCTGGAGAGAGGGGGCACTAGAACGATTATCTGAGCACTCATCCGAATAGGGCCCGTTTTTGGGGGGACCACATAAATGCCGCGAGGCCCTCGTTGCACACTCCAGATTTACTCTGACCCTAATTTTCGATCCCCGGTCTTAGTGCGGCGTGCGCTTCTGGGTGGCCATCCGGCGCAGCGGGAAGGGGGTTGAACAATTTAGCGTCTCTCGTGTGGCCAAAGGAAGGGTCCCCCGCGTCCCGGGTGGGCCTCCCCTAGCGTCCCCTCGGCGCTTCGGGCGCAAAGCTCTGTGTGAATTGGGAAGAGCTGGGGGGAAGGAGAAGGAAAAGGATGCTCGGCTCAAGCCTACGGGTTAGGTATGGGCAGCTTGACGGCGCCGTCGAACCCCGTGGATTCACAAAAAGTTGGACGCGATGCATTTTGGTTCGAGGAGTTGAGAGGAGGCCGAAAGGTGCATCTCTACACATAAGCGGCACAGCGCCAAGCCTGGGACTCTTCTTCATGGCCATTCAGAAAGGCCGCCGCGCTGCTTTTTCGGGTTCGTTTTTCGCTTGCGCATTTTGGGCAAAAGCCGAATATATGGTTTGTGCCTTTTTGGGCTGAGGAGAAAGAGAAAATTGGGAGGCTAGTATGTTTACGAAAAAGGAAATAACCTTGGTTAGTAATTTCGGGGAGGGGGGAGGCAGCATAGTGATAGTTAAGAATATAGAATTCCTCAAAAGCGATTCCCCCTATAATTAAAGCTAGCAAAAACCAACCTTGCAATGTTCACAGGACCCGTTTGGTGAGAAAGGACGCGTGGCAGTGGCAGTATCTACTGCTTGCATACAATCAAATCTGAAGTCGTGAGTGGAAAACTAAAATCAATGCCCTTGCCTGTGCAAAGTTTTGGAAAAAACGGCATAGGCATCTGAAAGACGGCCGATAGAGGCACGGACCCGCGAGAAGCACCGCATACACTAAAAATATAAATTACTTCTTTCTGAATATGCAAAAAAATTTAAAAGAAGTTTTTTTTACGTTTTGCTTGTGCATGACCTACATCATTATAAGAACCATGGACGCAATCGTCCCCTTGAACGCCTTCTTTCAATCGCAATCGGATCTGAAACTAAAAGTGTACAAAATTCCTCGCAACGTGCCGGATCTATTGGCCCTCGAATAGACTCACGTCGTCTCTTGCAAAATCGCTGCGCGCCGAGGCGCTCCCTGAGAAAACTTCCCAAATTGAGATGGGATGTTGTTTTTGGAAGAGGTAGGTGGCGTTCAAGTAGGCCGTACGATTTGGGCCGTTATGGCTACAGATGTCGTGCGGCGATCTGGAACAATGGTTGAAGGTGTTAAAACTCAAAATAAATAAGACCGAGAAGCTTGACGCATTTTAGCTGCTCGTGTATTCGGGAAATTTGCTTATTATTGTTTGAACTTTATTACTCTATGCATTTCGTACTAAAAATTGAATTATGCGAGAATGTCATTTACATAGGAAGAAGGACCTGTTTTCTATAGTAGTATTGATTCGGCGATAATTTTTTTCCGAATGCCTTCTTAAAAATTCCGCTCTAAAAAATTTACAATTTCGTGTCTAGAAAAGGCTCTTCCCGATAGTTCATCATTACGTCAAACCTCCAAATTTCTTCTAACGACCATTCTCGTCTTAATTTACATGGACATTTCCGTGCTTACATAAATTAACTGGCGCAAGAAATTCTCTTCCCTCCTGAAAAAGCACTTTCCAACAACACCGACCTGTCTTCTTGCCAAAAATAACTCATGTTGGGCGCCTGCGGGTCCGTTTGTGGCCGTGAGCGGACGAGGGTTGAGAAGTATGGCAATGATGTGCCGTGTTCGGGAGGGCCCGGTCCCTCGTACCCGTCCGGGCCCCCTCCCCGGGCCTGCAGCCCTGCTGCCGCACACGCCACCAAAGACCCGAAGTGCACGTAGACGAGCGCCTGTACGAAACGGCGATGTGCTCGGGAAATGTGCCTTCTGAAAAGAATGGTTTATCTGTGAGGAAGTTGGATGCTTGAACTGTTGATTTTGTTTTTTAATTATCTTTCCATGACTATATTAGGGGCATAGATTATCTAATATTTGCATAAATATATTTTGATTCAAAAAGCCGTCTTCCTATTAGTTAGAATATCGATGGATACTGAATGGTGTAAAAGTTTGAATTTTTTATTCCTCAAATATTCACTAGAGTCGACGAAAAATCCGAGGAATTATGTGACAACTGAATTTTTGCTATAATTTGATCCGTTTTGGCTTAAGCTATCCGCAAAAAAATAAAATGGATAACAGGGAAACGCTAGCCCAAACCAATTGATATTTTTTGCTTAAATAATTAACCAATAAAAAAAGTAAAAGGAGGTGAACGCAATCGGTTCCTTTCAGTTTTACGTCATAGAATCCGCGAAAAAATGCGTCTAGAAAATTCGGCATCCTATGAAAATAAAGCGATGCTGTTAGGAGAAAATCCATAACCGAACTATTGATCCTTTGACAGAACGCTAGCTTGCACCAGCCCAATAGCAGTCAATCCGTGATCATCTATTAGTCGTTCCTGATTTACATTCTTTTTTTGAAAATTGCCGTTTTTCACCATTCTACAACCATTTTACCAACCTTATAGAAGGTTCTTCGGGAGGCTCAGGCGGGGGGCGCTGGCGGCGGCGCATGGCACTGCGCTCGCCGCATTCTACTCGAGGAGGGGGAGGGGGCGTCGTGACAAAGCGGATCGCATCCGACTTGCGACGGCCCCGCTTTTGCTCTTGGGCAGATCTATCCTGGAAATAGTTCTTGATGTCGATGTCGATGTCGTTGCCCGTTCATATAAGGAAAAGGACGGGCTAAGAGAAAACAGAAGTGTGAAAACGGGAGAGGTGCAGAGAGACACACGAAGCGCCCTGGTCGCCAGCGAATGAAAAATGCCGGAAAGGGCGGGACGGGTTAGTGCAGAGCGAAAAAAGGGCGAATGGAAGGGATGTTGGACCTGCTGAACTTTGCGCATGTTAAAAATTTTTTATGTTAGATTATGGGAACGTTGTGGGACGGTGTGGAACGCCATGAAAAAAACGTGACCTTGGCAAGCAGCCAAGGTAAGTAAACTAACCAGAAATCCGGAAAGCAACCAGGGTATCAATCGCTCGTGCTCAATCCAACAAGGCCAAAACTTAAGTAATATTTGAAACACGCTAGCACCCGAATTCCAAGCCATAAAAGGAATCCACATCCGCTTCAGCCTTCTGGAAAAACGAGGGGAGGAAGGAGTAGTTGAATTTTTATTAGTTCCATGCGGTTCTGGAGGATGAAGCGAAGAGAGGAGGACGAGGAGAAGGAGGCCTCCAGGGCAAGGCTCGGATTTATTGTGGGAACCGCCACAGCCCCCCGACAGCTCCAAAATATTTGACGTTGTGTACATAAAAAGAGGGGGTAGGGCCGTTGAAGCAAAGGAGGAGGAGAAAGACGAGGGGAAGAAGGGCCGCATCTTCCGGGAGCTGAGGCCGAGAGTTAGCCAGTCTGGGGGGAAAGCTTTTCCAGGCAACGAGCCAATATGCATGTGAAGGAGCCCGATGGAGCCTTGTGCCTTTGAAATGGGCAATTGAAACGACACCACAATTCATCGACATGCGGCGAGAACTACAAGAATATAATCCGATTTGCAGGCCGAAAATCATTTGCGTCTGACTAACCGCTGTAGCAAACGCGCCCGCATCCCAAATTTACATTTCCAGACGCCCCAGGGGACCCGAGATCGACTGGCTGGACCATGCCCCGTAGCCATAGCGAAAAGAAAAATAAAGCAGCTATTTTCTTACGTCACTAGATATAATTGAGGTATGCAAGATTGGCAATGGCATTTAAATAATGTTTGTTATGACGACAGAGCCTAGAAAATTACATGCAATGTCAGAATTTAGCTAGTTTGATCTTAATTTAGAAAAAAATCTAAATTCCGTTGCTGGCAAGCAGACGAAATTTAGATTTTTTTTCTAAATCTAAATTTCTAAAAGCAGCAAGCAAGTGAGTTAGAAAGGTTTTTGACTTGACTCTGCCTAAGAACTCAATATGCATAGCGGACGAACCGATGGGTCCATATCCTAACGAATACGTTCTTCCTCGCATAAATGTGCAGCGTTGCAGCATGCTCAATGCTAGATTGGGCACTAAGTTTGCGCGTTTATAAAAACATTTAAAAATTATTCAATATTCGCTGATTTCCAGGTCTGCAAATCCTGATTTCCAAAGCCAATTAGCTACAAATGCATTAGCACCCGAACAAGACTCAACGCAAGCCAATACTAAATACCAAACACTAATACCAAAATAATCAAAACGTTTTGGAGCCTCGAATCGATAAGTCTGCAACAACATATGGTCGACTAGGGGCGTTCACATGTGTTGGCTTTGACGGTGGAAGCTAAATTGCAAAAAATCCTGATCAAAATATCGTGAGGACAGGATTAGTGGCGCTGGTCGGTTACGCTAAAAAAGGGAACAGGCGTTTTGTGCTAATTCTGGGCCGCAGGGTTGTAATTATCGGTTCAGTGGGCAGTTCTGGTTGGAGTGGGATCTTCGTTAACGTTATGCGTGACGATATGGGGCAACAAAAGACATGTAGCCAGAGTTAAGTAAATAAATGTAAATTCGGTAGGTTAAGGATGGCTCTTCGAGTTCAACGCGTTCAGTCGTCGGATCCGGATTGATCAATAGGGTTAGGGAAGCGACCAGTGTGAGAGTCAGTGGCTTGAAGCTGAGGCTGAGCCTCGAGACGGCGGCCACCCCCTTGGGCGTCACTATAAAGGCGGCGGCTATAAAGTAAGACGACGATGGTGGTGGCATTGGGGGGGAAGGAGGGTGGCGGAGAGGGCGGAGGTGTGGAAAGGCTAGAGCCGGACGGACGGAGCGGGTGGGGGGGGCAGAAGGGAGGGTGAGGCCTGAGCCCTGAGGCCTTGTGCTTTCTTCGGCCTCCCTAGCCTTGGGGCCCTGCCCCCTCGGGGGACTCCGGGCCCTCCCTCCAAATCAATGAACGACCCCCTTCCCCCCTCTCCAACCCCCGCCCCGACCCCCATCCCCGCATCCCGAATTCGCACCAAACACATACGGCGGCCCCTCCTCCTCCTCCTGCTCCTCGACGACGGGAAGAGCACAATGACATTCCTCAAACATTTCACCCACTCCACGTGTACCCCCCGGCGTTGGCACTTCTCCTCACCACCCGCCCCTCCTGGCCGCCGTCGGTCCGTCTGCAGCTTCCTTTATCGGGAGACCTCCTGCCCACCCCATTCTTGCCCCCGAATACACCTATCCTTGTTTGTCTAACCCTCCACACCTAATTACCGGGAATGAGGAAGGGGGTAGTCCCCGAGGTTTCTGTTGGGATGCCCGCACTCAACTCTCCGGCTCCCTGGAATCACCACCCAAAATCCTCCCTGGGCCCCCGGGGTAGTGTGCTTTCTGGGGAGCGAAAGAAAGAAAAGGCGGAAAGCAAGAGCATAAAAACGGAAGGACAGACGTGCCCACATCCGGTGCATCCATAATTCAAAATGGCATGTGCAAGACATAACTAAAAAATACAGGCAGATATGATTCGAAATTGACGAGGGTGGAGAGGAAAGGAAAATATAAACTAAAAGAAAAATGGAGTGAGGACATATGGTAAAAATAACGAGCGACCATAAAGTGGTAAAGGCGAGAAATCGTAACTGAAAATCATGGAGAGTTGACTGGCTTTCATATACGGTATTATTCAAGGATCAGCTAATAACGAAGCGTCATATTCTGGTCAAAATACATAATTAAAAGCAATGACGATCAACATACATATAATCAAAATCAAATCCGCTTTATCAGACCTTGTTTTGTTCCAAATACCCGAAAAAAAGTGATAAAAAAAAAATAAAAATCCTAGCCTAACCCGTAGTTCTTTTCCACAACACGCCTCTGTACCCAATTAACGCAATTTATCCCGAGCGAAATGGGCGGGGGCGAAGACAAATGAGAAAGGGAGACCCAGAACGAAAGAACGGGACAAACCCATGAGGAGAGATGGGCAGGCGACGAGATCAACGGAATTAGGATACGCTGGGGCTAAGTATGAGAGTGTCCACGAGTCTCCATCTCTCGTTCCAAGATAGATATTGCTTCGTCTGATGAGGGTAAAAAATGAGCGCATTGCAGAATGAGGAACACTTACCCGAAGGAGGGTCGGAAGCGCGTGGTAAGAAGCGGAAGGAAGAGTGCATGAAATGATGTTTTCGTTTTTGGCTGGTTATTAAAAGGGAATAGGCGGTCATGTGTTAAGGAATTCAGGAAATGGAAAGTTGTATATTCATTGAGGTTTAGAATTCCTTCTATGAGATTGTTACCGTTAAGATTTCGGCACGAATGAATAGAAGCAAAATGTTTCGCAATAATCTGTCGCCACCTTCAAGACGAAAAATAGATTAGCTGTCATTCTGTACCTAAATATGTATCGGGCGCTGATTAGCACAATCAACTGCGCACCGCATCTTTCTCCACGCCGAGACACATCCCCAGAAAGCTAGCTTTATTAGGCGAGGATGCAACGCGCCCATAGACTCACAAGAACATTACCACGTCCATGCACAAAAAACACCAAGAACAAAACGACAGCCGCCCCGGGGAGCGGGCTATTCAATGGCATGGTGGCAGAGAGGGCAATATTTCAGGTTGCTGATATGCTGTTCGTAGGCTCGATGCTTGCAGATGGGGCACAGCCAGAACTGGTAGTCAAAAAGTGGTCGGCCCGTCACGACACACATGGGAATCTAGAAAAAGGGCTCGTTTTTCTAATCTCGTTAAAAGGGAAGTGGGCGCCGGGCGAGGCGGAGACGCCCCTCGGACTCCCCCGCTCGCTCCACCCACCCGGATATCGCATTGCGGGCAGATCGTCGAGTAGTCCGGGATCGAATGCTCGCAGTTAATGCAGCCAACCAGGTTGGGTACGGTATCGGAAGGAGGGTACCTTAAAAACGATTGGAAATCTAGAGCCAAATTGCCGATTCTACTTGCAAGCTCAGAGCATCGCATACGAAAGTTACGGTAAGTGGCAAGGGGTAAGCTCGCGTTGAAAGCCTTAGGCCCAAAATCCGTGACAATCTTACTTGTTAAAAATCTTGATAGCCAACGTCCGATAAGCACTCTTTTCTTCTTCGGCCATATCCGACAAAGATTCCAACTTCATAAAAGCCCGACTAGCCACCGAGAATTGCCGAGTTGCACAGCTAGTAATTGCTAAAAAGACGCTTTTAGAAAACCTCACTTCCGACTACCTAACACTGAATACACTTCCACAGGATCCAGCAAATCATCAAAGTCCATCAAATAAAAAGCGCACTTCATCGCTGCGTCAAAATTGCCCTGGTATAGACCTTTCTGGGCCAACATGTAGAAATGGTAAGCCTCGGCCCCGCGCCAAGCACTGTCAATCATCCTTGATTCTTCGAGGCTCACAGAATTATCCTCTTCTAATAAACCTGATAACGCGATTTGTGCCTGAAAATTTTTGTAGAACTTTACCCTATTCCCTTCTACCTCATCGGCATTTTTATCCTTCTTCTTCTCAGCATCCGCAAATTTGATGCGCTGCTGACAATGGTAGTCCTCAACCATTAATGCACCAAGAACATAGATTTTCTTTAAACGTAGGAGAGTTGCTCCACGTTTCCGCTCATCTTCTGCTATCTAAGACACATCAAAATCGACAACGCGAAATTTGGATCCCACGTCGTAGATAACTTTTGCAGCTTGTAGATATTTTCCAGCTCTTCGATATAATTGTACAGCAGCCAAGGTCCTTTCATTGCTCCCGGTCAAGGCTTCTGCATATTTTCCCAGCAAGCTGTCCACATCTTTCAGATTGTGGGTACGTGACAGCGTCACGGCCTAAACGTTTTTAAACTTGTGATATTTATATGCTACCTTTTCCCATTGGTTCAATTGAATGCAAGTATCCAATGCTTCGTTCAGCCGATCGCATCGCAAAAAGTTTTCGACAGCCGCTTCACAAAGCCCTGCGCTTGCAAACAATTCCGAGAGTTCCTAAGAAACTGTAAGTACAGATGAGTGCGTCTCACGATTAAGAGAGGATTCCCTGGCTGCAACTGTGTAGCCAAATGCCGCAAACTGTTGTAGTCAGCCCGTCGCAAGTAGCAGTTTTTCAGCTTCTCCAGGTTCTTCGATTGCTCGTAGTGAGGAATTGCATTTTCCCTGGAGGAATTAGAATGTTTCCGAAAGGTGGTGTCACTTACCAATTCTGCCGGTCATAAAAATAATCACCAAGCCGTTCATAGACAATCTTTAAGAGTTGATCATCACCAGGACCGGTAGTGGTTTGCAAGATCTTCAAGACACGGAACCAGTCCTGTTGGGTCTTGAACATTTCAAGGGCCAGGTCGCTGTAATGCCAAGTATAAGTCACTCCTATAATCGCTTACCGTCGATCAGCTTGGAAAAACAACCGTTCCGCTTCATCTATCTTCCCCAAATGGTAGTAGATTTCAGCTTCCCGTACATGCACGTCCTACCAAAATGTTAATGAGATTCGCAAAATCCTTACATCAATTTTCTGTGCCTTTTTGCAAAACTGCAGGCCTTGGTAATCTTTCAACATTACATACGCATGCTCGGCTGTTGCCAAGTCCCCTTTATTTAGGGCCACTTCCGCTAGTAGAGCCCTGCAATAATAGGCGTTCCTTTTTTATGGTGACAACTCAACCATAATCTTGGATGTGGGTTTTTCTCGATGTAGGCTGTGGCTTCAGAGACCTTCATTCGGGTGAGCATGCTTTTTGCTTCGCGGAGGGCCTGAAGAATTATTAGTTTTGAGAGTAACGCTTGCATACCTTCACTTCAATGTCGACTATGTACCTTCGCTCCGGATGTTCAGGTCGTTGTAAGAATTGGTCAACCATTACAGTGCGGACAGAGAGTCCTTTGAAAGAAGCAATATATCTAGAAGCTCGTGGAAGTTAGAATTTTCTACCTACCCTGAGGAGTTCACAGGTTCCTCCGTTTCTCGGCCGCGAATGACGAAGAGCCGCGTTTTTTCCATCACGGCTAAGGTATCATCTTTTTCCTGAGAAGTGATAAAGTTTATTGCCAGGGTAGGAGATTTTGCCACACAAAAGATCCCAACTTACATGATCCCACTTGACATTCCAAACGTCAGTCCGTTGAGCTCCAGGAATCGAGTTCAACCCATCTTCGCTAACATCAAACTGCCTCATTACAGCCTGATGGGTCAGGACAACCAGCTTTGTGAACGTGCAATTAAAATACATCTAAAGATTTAGAATCATGAATTTATTCATTAAATCGTGGCTTACCTTTTCGATGTTTGTCAGCAACGGGAATTTATGAAGTTGGGATCCATCAGTGAGAGAAAATTTATAGACTATTCCACTTTCAATGGCCTAATTGTTGTTAAACAATTGATGAAAGGTGAAGTTACCGCTAGAAAATAAGTATCCGCGACGACCAATGCGCAGATGACCTCGGTCGGTTTCTAAACTTCTCCAGCTGTACATTAAAAGCGTAGACTTACTTTCTTCCGTAGCGTTGGTCCCGCCACTGACCCATCCAGATGATGAATTCTAAATCTATATAAATTCAATTTATGCCCTTACGTGTCTTGTTGGGTACTTGGCCTTTGTAAGGCGAGGAAGCTGAATGAGTTCTTCTTTGGCAGGTTAAAGTGCCAGATATAAAACAGGTCTTCCGTGGCGATCACCGCCGCTTCGGCATTTAGCTCGACGAACTCGGGCTTGACTTCCGTATACTGAACCGATAAGAATCTGTTAACAATAGTATTACTTTGAAGTCCATTTGAGTCCCCATGCCGTTACAAAGTTGACAGAGGTAGCTTCCATGTTCTTCGTCCGATCGACTGGAGATGATACAGTACTCGTCATTGCACGACAGATTCTCAAGGTGTCTGACCTGAAAAAATCTTCGACTTTTTTAGAAGATAGGGTACCGCTTTTGTATAATGCGCTTCTTGTTGAACATCATAGAAAATGACTCTGAATTCAGATATAGCTGTCTCGAAGGTGTAGACGACCGAGTCCGCGCAATAGCCCCACTAAAGCACTTCGAAGGATCCGCTTTTTGGTATTTACCAAGTAATTGGGCCGTATATTAGTGAAATAGATATGTCGGTCAATAGCTAACGCACATCTCAATCCGGTAGAATCCCAGGCGCAGCCATTAATTGCATTGCCTTGAACTTTTAACATCCGAATTCGCTGAAAAAGGTTTTGTCTTTAATCGTTCAAACTACCTCCCCATGTGCCGTATAGAACAGCACGACGTTTCGTTCGCCAGTGGGGGCATCAGATAACTGGCCTGTCACCGCAAAGAAACCGCCGTTTGGTGCCCAAGCAGCGCATGCGATCGCAATTTGGGATAGCCGAACCATTACAGGTTCTGAAATAAGGCCTACAAAGCGCCCTGAGTAAACCAACGCGTATCGGTTTCATTTCTCATCAACTGGATGACTCCATGTTCGTATGCTATCAAAAGACGTGGTCTTCCATCTTGCCGATCACTGAGCTAAAATTGAAATAGACTTAGGCCAATTCCCGACAAACCATTTCGGTCGTTGGCTGTCTAGTGATTCTTGGTGGTGCGGCATCGTTTTGATTTGGCCGATTGAACATTTGCGTTTGTTTATGTTTGTAGCCTAAGGACCTAATAAATTGAGAAACACATTCTACCTCCGTTGTCCACATATTTAGTCTTAGCCACTGGCGCCCACCAGCATAACGAAATAATCTTATCTTTGCGCAAATCTTCTAAAATAACTTGAGCAATACCTCAGAGACTTACTAACAAGAGCCGTCTCCAATTCAACGTTTTCAAGAGCGGTCATTTGTAGCTTTTGCTAAAACCTGGAATTTTACAGGTGCATTCATCATACCATAAAGTTTCCTTGGCTGTCATACGCATGCACTTCACCATCACAGAAACCTAGCAAGATTAAATAACCATCTGGTGACCACTAAATAAAATTTTTATGAAGTGTGCTGCGACTTACGCAGCATGCAGCTAGCTGACCAGGCATCTCTTTGTGCCAGACACGATTTCCTTCAGCTGACCCGAGTATTACCATTCCTGGAAATCATATCACTTTTAGCGATTAACTACTAACCATCTTGATATGCAATCGCGATCCGGGATCCATCGCTATTCCACGACATCGAAACCACCCGGGATTGATTCCGATTGTTCAACATATCCTCGTACCAATTGTCATTTGACAAACTCCAGACAACAATCAATCCATTTGAGTCGCTACTAGTCAACTTCTGATAAACTTCATTGAAGCAGACACAGAGGACAGTCCCTAAAAATTTTGACGTTTCTTCGGGTCTGCCGTACTCACCCGTATGTGCTTCCAACTCTTTATTCACTGACAAATTCGTTGGTGTAGCTATTCCATTATCCGCTCCGGTGTGCCCTGGAGTAACAGAGCCTTTCCAACAAAATTCGGAAGTCTCACTCTTATTTGAAGTCTCGGCTGGGGCCAGCTTCAAGATTCTCAACGATCCATTGGTACCTCCGGCCGCGATGAAATCAGTATTTTGATTCCAAGAAACGCATTGTAATTCGGAATCATGCGGAGTCGTGACCTAAAAATAGTTTATTCTTAAACAGCTGCTTCTTTGTGCAATGCGCCTTTGAATAAGCCGCGTTACCTTTTTGCTTAGGTAGATAAACATTCCGCGAATTGTTTTTTCATTGTAGAGAATCATTGCAGTATTGACCATGGTTGCGGCGGTAGCTGGGCCAAGGGCAGATGGCAATTGCTCGTTCTCGTGGCCCAATTAATAAAAGAAAAAGTGCACCGATTAGGCGATGTTATGCTTTTAGCTTGAAGTCGGTGTGGGTACGGTCACCATGGTAACGTGGCAGGTGCTTCGGCGCGGTGGGGGGACGCAAAAAAACTATATGGTTGGTGGTGTGGTTACAATGATCACATAGTGTGTGTGTGCGTGACGCAAGGAATATAATATTTTGAACATATTAATGAATTAAAGATTATACAGAATCGAAACAGCAAAAAAAGGAGAAGACAGGGAACAGCCGTAACACATGGCACAACATGGAAACATTAGTCATATTAAAACCCACGAAGAACTGGAACCTAAAATAAAATAAACATATTCTGTAATATAAAAAGGAGGAATCAACAGTGAGCCATACTGATGTTTTGTAAAACTGGTAAAGTATATGAAATCTGGCGCTTTGCATACATGATTTTTGGAGCTTCAATGGCTGTTTCAGAAACCGCTGTTTCAATGCAAATATATTTATTGTAACTCCTAACATGCAAGGTTCTTAGTGAAAACAACTCTTCGAAACTATTATACGTGGGTGCAGGCGTTTGGCAGTCCTTTCGCGCATAAATGGTCCGGATCGGATCGATCTCGTTTCCGTGCACTAATGAAAACGAAGCATTTTTCTCGCCCAACCGGAATAATTTTCGTCTTGCCCCTCTTTCGCAACATTTATTGTATAGAGTCATACTTTACCTCATTAAACCATCATAGAGCCGACCAATTTACACACCCTAATCGAATATGACTGTTACAAACACAAAAGGTCCCCAGAGCCTTGACGGTTTTCTGTTTGACTCAAAGGTACCAGATTCCCGCATTTTGGAGCTTTTGGGCAGGCCAATCGCCTTCATGCTTCTTTATTCTTTCTATTCCATTGGATTTTCAATGGGTTCATTACGTTTCGTGGATGCGCCAAAATTCGGCTTTTCCGTCAGAAGGCCACCGTGCGGTTATCTTGGACAACCTCTTTTTGGCTAGAACAATTGCTCAATTTTCCAGGGCGAGTGCGGCATGTCGTGAAGCCAAAATATCCAAATACCATCATATTTGCTACCAATTCAATCGTTCTACTATGCTCAAAATGTCGTTATCCGAAAGGAGGCTGCCACTGGAAAACAAGGGAAAGCGTCGGTTTTTGCAAAGACGCCATACAGAACTTGGTGGGTTGAATTTGATATTTGCATCTTGGCTATAGAGGTATGACGTTTTATAATTTAAACCAGCCGATTACAGCCGCTTCGCGACTGCAATCGGCTGGACTTCGGGCCACCCTCCATATTCTACACCACCACATTTAATCCCTACCTTACGCTGATGCCTTCATGGCAATAACTACACTGATGGCTTCAGATACCTCCTCTAGCCAACCCCCCCACAAAAACATAGCTACCTTCCCGATGGCTTCAGATACCCCTCCGGGTCGAAATTCCGTTAAAAATCTACCAAAATACCTCCCTGATGGCTTCAGATACCCCCCATGGCTGAAATCCCCTTCAAAAACTACCTAAATCCCTTCCCGATGGCTTCAGATACCCCCCATGGCTGAAATCCCCTTCAAAAACTACCTAAATACCTTCCTGATGGCTTCAGATACCCCCCATGGCTGAAATCCCTTCAAAAACTACCTAAATCCCTTCCCGATGGCTTCAGATACCCCCCATGGCTGAAATCCCCTTCAAAAACTACTTAGATACCTCCCTGATGGTTTCAGATACCCCCATGGCTGAAATCCCCTTCAAAAACTACCTAAATACCTTCCTGATGGCTTCAGATACCCCCCATGGCTGAAATCCCCTTCAAAAACTACCTAAATACCTTCCTGATGGCTTCAGATACCCCCCATGGCTGAAATCCCCTTCAAAAACTACCTAAATACCTCCCTGATGGCTTCAGATACCCCCCATGGCTGAAATCCCCTTCAAAAACTACTTAGATACCTCCCTGATGGCTTCAGATACCCCCATGGCTGAAATCCCCTTCAAAAACTACTTAGATACCTCCCTGATGGCTTCAGATACCCCCATGGCTGAAATCCCTTCAAAAACTACCTAAATACCTCCCTGATGGCTTCAGATACCCCCCATGGCTGAAATCCCCTTCAAAAACTACTTAGATACCTCCCTGATGGCTTCAGATACCCCCCATGGCTGAAATCCCCTTCAAAAACTACCTAAATCCCTTCCCGATGGCTTCAGATACCCCCCATGGCTGAAATCCCCTTCAAAAACTACCTCAATACCTTCCTGATGGCTTTAGATACTTTAAATAATTTAAATAATTAATTAACATAATTAAAAAGTATTAAAAGTATTAAAGTAACTCAAAAAGGCATCTGGGCGCGGGAAGGGCCTTGGGGAAGAGGGGCGAAGAGAAAGGGGGCGTGGCCTCCCGGGGAGAGGGGGCCCCCACTCGTTTTATTAAGGCGCCACTTTCAAAGTTAATTTTAATAATTTAAACTAAAACTTTTTCATAATTTTTTTATCAGTTTAGGGGTTTCTGACCACGCTCTATCCGAATCCGAAGAGAGCTAAGCTCTAGCTCCTTTCCCCTTCGAGTTGAATCCGGGACCGGACAGACACACAGACACCACAACTTTTTTATTATAGTTGATACTTAGCCAGACTCTGCTAATAAATGTAAAAGTTACACTTTCAATTTGTTCAGCTGAATTCACTGTTCTTATTTTCTGCGTCGCCGGCCCCGAGATTTCGCTGGTCTCAAAAATTTTCGTGAAGACCGCATTTTCTCGAGTCACGGTATTTTGTGTAAGAGAGCGTTGGGAAACGAAGTGAGGGGGATTTGAGGCGAAAACCCGGCAATCACTAGAGCCCACTAATCCGGCCCATCTCGTCCGGCGGATTGCTCCTGAATCCCCTTTTACCACCTAGATTTCACCACCACATCCTATCGACCACCCACAATTTTCGTACTGAATATTCTTTTGATCATTGCCAAAGTTCAGTGTCGGAAATGCTTTGTTTTGTATTGTTGAAGCTTAATAGTTAGGCAACGATTTGTACGGAGTTTAACACTAACTAAAAAATTCTGAAGGTTTGGACGCTTACCTGCATCAGTTTTTTTGAAGTACGGTAGACCACTGCGGAAACCACACTTTCCCTGAAAAAGCGCATACTGATTTCCGGTCCGATTTCCTTTAAAAAAGCAAACCTCTAGGTTCATCAGCAATTTCGTTACTTTATTGTTCACTTTCTGCCGGAAGTCAGGGCGGCCGATAATTGTCCTGTATAAAGCGTAATTTGTCGCAGATAGTTTAGTTGACCGAATGTCTCGACAGCCATCGCCTCCGAATTCTCCCTCTGCTTTTTCGGCGTTGAATGTCAAGTTGGGTGTCAGCGACGATGAGGGGACTGCACGTCGTAAGATGTCACCAAAAGAGGAAACATCGGTGAGTTCAGAATTAAGATATTGATGGTTTATGATACTATTCGACTTGGGTTTTAGTTTTTAATTCCTTCCCGATTTGTTTTGTTCCCAAGCAAAATGAAAAACGAATGCCACAACCTGACTAGCCAAAACTACAAATTCCAGTCAAAGCCCAGCAAGCTGACGATAACGGATGAGACGACAGGCCAGTCAACACAAGGGCACCTAACAAAGCCTCCTTCCAAGGTGGGCTTAATCCATGACTTCTCCGCGGAAAAGGAGCGAGCTTTAGTCAAAAACAGCACCTTCAGATCGCCACCTTGTGCGGGGACAACGAGATGGACTCGTCAAACCCGCAGAAGAAGCGCTTTAGGAATTGTCATGCTAGCTTTCGGCTTCGAATGCTTCAGGAGCAACATGGGCATGGAACTGGCTTTGAGCCGGCGAGTTTATTTACATCTAGAAATTGGAGGAGCTAGAATTCTAGTTGACTGGATTTTTATACAAACAGACGACAGACAGACACATCTTTTAAGTGCTAGCCATAGTTCGAAACGGGCTAGACTTGCTAAACTTTTCGAACTTTGTTTAGTTTTGTAGACCTGGTAGTCCGTGATCGATAGTCGATTAATCTAATTACCTAATTGGATTAAAATTGTCATCCTTCTTCACCTATTCGTCTATGATTTTCTTAACATAACTCAGGTGACAATTATTTAATCCGCCACCACCTCCGGATATAAAGAACTCGCGCTCTAATGAAGCATTTCCGATGGTGGAACCCGGGTTCTGTGACATCACAACCCCGCCTGTGTGCATAAACATGTCCTATATTGGCACCCGAAATGACCCCCCATCCAACAACCTCATCAGCACCTCCGATCCCCCCATCCGGATCGGCTTCTTCTCCCCTACTGCCCTCATCTCTAATTGCCGATATCCGTCGATCCCCCGTAGATGGGCCCTTTCGTAATAAAAATACTCCCCTGGCCACCGCCTGGGGGCTCTCGGCTTACAAAGGAGACCGGGCTCCCTCGGCCTCTATCCCGCGCAAATCCGCATTTGCGGATTTTGGCCCATCTTCAATATTAGGATTAAGGGCAACCGCTGCGTGTATTAGCTCGCCGGATCCCGCCTTCGAATTCTCCGACTGTCACATTTGTTTGAGTTTCATTTTGCAAATTGATTCTTGCTGGATGGTCACGTAGGGTAGCAGAGTTCTCGAATCTACGCCCTAGCTTCTATTTTCTAATCTTTATAGAGGTCTTCTAAAGGAGGGTTCCTTTCGAGCGATCAAAATACCGCAAATAAAAGTTCAAATTTATTAATTCTGACCAATTTCATTTTTGCAATTTAAACTAACAAAGGCTCTCAAGAATGCCAGTATACCGCATAAATAAGCTGTACACTTGTTTAAGCTCTAAATACGGTCCTAACCGACTTTACTCGAAAGGTTGTTTTTGAGGGAGATACGTTATTTCCTTAATTAGCATACGAAGGTTCTCCTCTTTTCAAATTTCAAGAACAGCAGCATTTCCATCCCCCATATCTACATGTGATTCCGTGTTTTCCGCTTCTCCCCCACTACGCAACCCTACAATGGCTTCAGTAGAGGAAATGGTGAAGGGAAAGGATAAGAAGATCCTGATCAAGCAGCATCCGTCATCAATGCCCACCTCACCCTCAAATATTCTGCCCGGAGGCCGATTGGAACCGTTCGATGATCCTCCCTCCAATTTTCCCTTCATCACGAGCAGGTTTGTTGTCGCGCAAATGGTCCGGAATCATTTCCCGTGCCGGATATTGGTCGCGTGGTATGGTGCCCGTTTGTCTGGGGATACTTTATTCTGTTTTCCCCCCATTAGCCATTTAGCCAAAAACGTAAGCCAATGTTGCACAGCAAGTCTGCTAGCCCGCCACCGACTCCGACACGTCTGAATATTGAATGCGGCGGTGAACCCCGAAAGGGATTATTCAGGTAAAGACGGTGAAATTTTCTATGTGAAGTCAACTAATCTGCAAGTAATCTTACCAACTTTGAAAGATTCCTGCAACTAACCAATAATCTTTTAGGGCCCCCTCCCGAACATTCTCCTTTTTTACGCGGTAAACATTTGAAAAGGACTATATATCTGGAATAGATTTTGGGTTTTTCTTCCCGCATGAGCATGTCACGCTGTATTGTAGTTTGTGCAAAAAGGGCTTTCAGGACGGCTTCACAAGAGAAGAAGAGGTCATCAGCATCGATTGAAGATGATGGATTCTTGGCAAGCCTTCGAGCCGCGAAGCGACCCTTCCAAAGCGCACATCAGTCGTTCCGACTTCGGATGCTACAGGAGCAACATGCTGGCGCCAATTTTGAACCGGTTTTGCTTTAGTTTACATGTACAAATGATCACCAGAACAATAATGAAGTTTGAACGAAATAGCTAGATTTTTGAAAACCATTTTCAAACGAAATACACGACAGCAGAGTACAACAAGTCCCAGCTCCCTGCCTGAATCCGACTGCCCTTTATCTAATCTTCTTCTTCAGGTGTTCGTTACAAAGAAACGTGCAACGCGTGAGGGGAAGAGCAACATGTCGGAGTTCAAGGGCGGCGACCTGAACAAGTACACTGCTCGCAGTTATGCCATTCAAAATGGGAATGAGGTTTTTGGAGGTGCGGTTTTGAGCTCTGCATGGATTATTATCGGCATGATGAGTGGCTATTGTAAAGCACGAATACTTATAAAAACCTATTCTCACTCGGATTTGCCGATCATAGCCAAAATCTCCTTTCAGTCAGCGCACGCTAGTTAGCACTTTTTCTGATCGATCCCATTTGGAAAGTGGTGTTTCGTGTTTCGTGGTGACGCATCGTGCATCGTGCCATAACTTCTGACGAGCAAGTTTTTTCGTGATGGATTTGGAATGATGCTGAAAGCGTATCACTTCTGCGCACTAATGAAAAAAACTATAGCGAACCATGAAAAAGTGATAATTTTTTGCATAACGTTCCTAACGTGGTTTTTTTTCTAGATTCACCAACATTAGCGTTTCAATGAAAATCCTGGAGGTCCAATGGGTCGCGATGGAAGATAAACGTTTCTTGCAAAGGCTGGCTTCCCAAAAACTATAACTAACCATGAAAAAGTGATAATTTTTTGCCTAACGTTCTTAACGTGGTTTTTTTTGCTGGATTCACCAACATTAGCATTTTAATGAAAAGCCAGGAGGTCCAATGGGTCGCGATGGAAGATAAACGTTTCGTGCAAAGGCTGGCTTCCCAAAAGAAATTCCAAAGAACCATTTACAAAACCTCAAGAGCATTTTGAGTAGTTTCGCACGTCTGCAATTCTTGGCAGTCGGCCGAGCACATCTATAACACGACGCTTCCTCCTGGCTAGCTTTTAGTTTTTCGCAATCCGTTACCCGACAAACGCTTTTTAACTTGAAGCCGTTTGTGCTTGAGGGTGCATAGAAAGAAAAAGAGAAAGAAAGGGAGACGATTCATTACTCCAGTGGGCACGCGGCCATCGCGCAAGGGGGATCCCTAGGGAATTCGCGCCTCGCCCTATTTGTCTACATTCACCCCGATTCACAACAATCACAAAATAAGGACCTTGCTTTTGACCTACTAATCTGTATATTATTGAATTTGAATTTGTTATTTGTAGATCGGTTTTGGAATGGGTGCCAGGACCATTGAGAGGCCTATCCGCCGAGGCGTGAAAGTTCGTTTGGGGTTTTTGGCAGGGCTGGGAGGAAAAGCTGTCCATTCATCTGAGGGACAGGAGTTTTTGGCTTCGAGTAGTTTTTAAGTGATTTGTAGATTCACGTTGGCTTTCAGAAGTATATTTTTCTAAATTGAAAGGTTTTTTTTGGGTTCCGCGTTTTTCGGATAAAGTTGTTTATAAAAAATAACGTTTTCGTTTGGCGAAGGAGCATGCGAAGTGTATTTGTCTTGTAGCGTCTATTAATGTGAATTCTATGATTAGTTTTCTCAGATTCCCAGCTTGAATTTGTCATGGAGCGCTAAAGACCTCCATAAATCTCATCCCTGTTTCATGAATAATTAGTTTGTTCATTTCTATTATATTAATTAGATTCAATAATCGATCAAGATAGTCTTGTATTTATCAAACTTTATATATAGTAGAAATTTTGAAGATAATGAGTAGGGATATTAAGTTTTTCTTGAATCGCTACTAATACTAACTTACTTACTTCAATACTTCAAAAATCGCTCTACTAATTTCAATAAATCTCGACTCCCATTCCCATCCAGTTAATTTCAAGCATGCAGCGTCCCAATTTGAACGGGCGGACACTTTTCGCGTCGATTGCCCTAATTTCTCGTTGGGGCTAATTTTCGGGAGCCGAGGCTGGGCGCGCAAAAAGTGGAGGAAAAGAAGGGGGCCCTGGTGGGCAAAGCTTGGGGATGGCCCTCCATAGAAGAGCCTCATTCCAATGGTAGTGGTGGGGGGTCTGAAGGCAAGTGAGGGGAAGAGGAGAATGCTGTGGCACTTGCAAGTGGTCCTCGGGGAACGTTTTGCCTTAATGCATCTTTTCCCCTCCCAGTCAGACGGCCAAAAAGAAATTCACGCTCCGACCTCTGTTTTGGGACCCGTCCTAGTGCCTGTTGGTTGGCACACAAAAAACATTGGCCATATTTTAATGCCATGGGATTTTAGATCTCGATTTTTGAAGAGGTGGTGGCTATATTTTTGCGGTCGCTTGTAAGCCGCCAACTATAACAAACAAATTTGTTATTAAAAACAGGGTGGTTACGATACGAAATCAAATTTTAAAAAATTACTTCAAAGATTTTAATGTTCCGAAGCTGCTTTTTACCTTTGTTTATTGAATTTAGTCTCTGGTTCGACAGAATCTCTATGATCTTTTAATAATATTGACCTTGATTACCGAAGTTCTTGTTGGTCGAGCTTGAAACTGGTTTGATTAAAAGAAATGCTTTTTGGATCTAGAACGTCAGCGAAATCCTCTTTGATTCGTTTTTTTTAAACATCCTTAAATTCACCCGAAATTGGCCGCGAGACGACTCTAGAAACCTAGCTTGGACCAAGTCTCCGGCCGCCCGATTTCACCTATGCATACTTCACGCTCAACTCAGTTGCACAGACCTTCCGACCCGACATTTCCGGCGTTGCCAATTCGGAGACCTAGTTGTTGGTTTTTCAGTTCCATGCTTCAAGCAAATCCAAAATGTCACTCAGGACGTCAAAAAAAGCAATTTCAACAGGCTAACCATTGCCTTAAGATTTATGAACAAAAATCAACCCAAATTTGTTTGCTTTGCTCCTCATTTTGTACAATTTAACCCGCCCACCTCGGACTCGTGGGCCACTTTGCGGCTTTTGACGTAGTTCCGAAATTTGCGCGGAAGATCCAATTACGCATCCAACAGCAGACCAGCGTTTCGCATTTAGTTAGCGTTGCAGTTGACTAGATGTTGCAAGAGATTAGACATTGTCTTTTAGATAAGCGTTCGTTTAGTCAAAAATAAGTACACTAATTTTTTTTAATCGGAACATAAGGTCGAGTTCTGGTCCTGTTTTACTATTAAAATCTTCAGCCTTAAAGTATTTAATTGGTGGTACAATTGGCTAAGTACTTCTCGAAATTGAACAGTTATCATTATAATAAGCGTTCCCCCTTACAAAAAAAAGTACACTTAATTTTTTGAAAATTTGTATATAGCAGCCGGTTATAGTTCTTGCATAGCACCATTAAAAGCCGCTAGCGAGAACTACTCTCCCAATAGCCAACCGGGCCATAAATGTTGAAAGTATTTATTAGTTGGGCCTCCTCCCTAGGGCCCACCGCTCGTTCTCACTACGTTTTTGCGTGTTTTTTCTTTTAAGGACTCGGGCGGGCCGACCGCTCTTGAGTATCTCCCCTAGGGCCCCCACCACTCTGAATACTATTTGGTGCTTAAACTAGCGTTACATCCATTCCTCCTCCCCGCACATCACCCTATCTATTCGGCATTTTCGGTTTTTAATCTATTTGTTTGCCAGCTATATCTGGAAATGCAAGAAAACACAGATTCTGTAGCCCCAATGGAACCGCAGCCGGCAGCGAGTGCGGTCACCAAGCCGAGACGCGAAATGTTTGATCTATCAGGTTGGATATGATGGTTGGAGCACTAATATACGACTATTAACTCGGACCGCAAATTTGATTGAAGCAAATGAACTAACCAGTGTTGGTGTGGATTGTTTCCGTGGAATGTGTTTTCTTAATTTCTTCTTGGTGTGGGTGTGCATGGAATTTTGTGGTGAATGGTGGAAAATGAGCATATTCGTTTGGGTAAAGACTGAGTAAGAACGATAAGTTTTTCAGGTTTACTTGTTGAGCCCAAATCACCGTGTTCTGATCAAAAATCGTTATTTGAAGGCGTATTCTAGCATATATTAAAAATAAAATTGTTTTTATCAAGTTATAAGATAAGACCTATAATTTTTATTTTGTTCCAAAACCTTGCCGCTGCTTTGAACAATCGTGATACTAACAATTCTTATGCGTGATCATAATTATAATTCTTTTGGTTATTTCGACCTCCGGAATATCGCAAATCTTATGGAAATGTAATTTTTTAAGTAAACTGTCGATCATTACGACTTTAAACCGCCTAAGACTTTTAATAATACCTAACGATTACCACAACCATTTCTTATGTACATTTTTTGAATTCTATGTCAATTTTGACAGATTTTACGGATAGGAGGGCTTTTATTTGCGATCTCTATTTAGATGAAATTTTTATTTTAGGGCAAGGGTCTATAATTGAAAAAATACCTTAAATACACTTCTATAATTTAGCTTTTAATGTTAAAAGACCTTAACAAACATCCCTGCATAACCTAAGCAACCTTAGACGCCGCGCAGCCCCCCTTGCCCAATCCCATTCCCATATAACCATGCGCCATTTTAATTATTGGGCCTATTATAAATTCATGCGGGCGCCGACTTAAGCCGGTCCCCCCCCGGCCCGAAGCACAAGTGCCGGCGCGTTGGATTTCGCTGCGCTACCCCCTCCTCCCTGGCTATTCGACATCTTGTCGAGGAGCCCATTTGTGCTTCCTCCGGCATACTGCCCCGTATTCACTGGCCAGTTTAACAAAAGTTGTTGTGCCCGAAGAGAGGCCCTCCTGAAATGCGACACTCCAACATGAAAGCTCAACACCGAGCCTCCCCGTCGATGGATGGACGAGACCTCCTCGCCCAACACCTCTCATGATCTATCTGCCCACCCGACACTTTGCTAGGTGCTAAAATCGTCTATTTTTAGCTGAGTTTAAATTTGTCTTACTTTATATCTTTCATTTTTTTGATCGATTATACAATTAAGATAATGAGCCAATTAAGTTACTAATAAGACGATCAAGCGAATTTATTAGTTGACTGAAGTCATTAATCATAATTTTTTGTGGCCATTATGCCGAAAACTCAAAATGTCAATGACCAAAAATCGATTCCGCCGAAATCCATTTCCACAGAAATTTCATTAAGCCAAAATTTGACCTGCTACTAACGCAGGCTCATAAAATGCTCCAAGAAACGACAGATGTTTGCTATGAAAAATTAAGTTACGTAAATTTTGGAATTTCAAAATTTCCGCTTGACCGAAAACCGGTGTTATTTGTTTTCGTGTAGTTTTTCTGCTTAATGAAACTTTTGCGAAAGAAATTTTCGGTATAGCGTTGGTAAGCGCTTAGCACTAGCTAATTTCTTCATTTTTCAGTATGCATTTTCTTTGCATTACATAAATTAAAAAAAGAAAACTCGG